AGGCAATTTTTCCTTACTGCAAATAGGATTAATTAGCTTATGGATCTCAGTAAGTAATATTTCACCTCCTGCTTGAATCAGTTTTGCCAGAATTTGATCACTACCTGGCAATTTATATCATTAAACTGACGAGTGGATAGAAAAGATTCAGTTCATAGTATTCAGGTCATGTAAGTAAGATAAGTTCAAATTCTGATCTCCAAGTAGACTACCACAGCAAGTGGTACTTTAAAATAGGATCTAAATACATTCTTTCTAAATTTCTATTTGCTTATAATTTACTGTCACTTAGAATCACACATACTTCCTTTCCAGGTGATTGATGGTCATATTGTGACCGTTAATGAAACATCGATCAAAGATGATGACTCAGACTTGGTGCTTCATGTGAAAGTCATTGATGTAAAGCCTACAGAGGGAGCTGAAGAAGAAACTGAAGACAGTTCTGAAATTTCAGAAACTACATCTTCTAAGACAAGTAATGAAGTAACGTCCTCAGCTACAAGCAGTGAGGAATCTGTTGGCAACGAGATCCCCAAGCAGGTGGGTGAAGATGATAACATGCCCTAATACTGTTCACAGCAAGTCCATGTCCCTGCTGGTTGGCCAGCTGCCTGGATGAGTGAAATAAGACAAAGAGTAATACTGGTCAAATATGTTTAATTTTATAAAAAAATAGAGAATTGTATGTTGATAAAAGCAGCTGATGGTACAGGGAGATGAACGAATCTGCATTTAATCTCTTCACATACAGTATATATTAATAGTATCACTTTACTTAATCTCCCCATTCCTGTCACATAATGGGAATTGGTTTTACATTTGCAGTGTTGTCATGGAGCAATAAATAAATGTACAGATTTGCAAGTTAACAGTTAGTAGTGACTTGCAAATTGTCAAATCAGATATGACAACTACATGCAACTAATTACAATGAATTATCTAATGAACTGTCTGCTCAGAATTCTGTCCTTCAGCAAGACTAATAACAAAACACATCTCTGTAATAAATTAGAACCTGCAGTCATTGCCGTGCAATATTAAAAATACAGACAGGTCAAAAAAAATATTTTAGCATTTACATTTTGGAACAATATGATGTAACTTAATTTGTGAATAAATTATTCTTCCATTCATTTTCAAAGAAGAAAAATATATGGGTTTAAATATATATGTATGTTGTAAGAATTTTTCATTATTGAGGAAATAAACAGTGTTATGTGGCATGCCTTGATCTTACGTGTGTGCATATATGTCCATTTAGCTAATTCATTACAGACATGTGTTACAGTTCACACTCTACTCCTGTAAATTACAGATGTGGCTGTAACTTAATAATCTTAGGCAAAGCATGAAGCTTGAAGGGAAGTGAATGCAATATGGCTTTTAATTATAACTATGCACAACAAAAATCTATGACATATAGTACTTTTACTACATACAGAGGAATTTAATCCTTAAATATGCAGCGCATATCTTACCATTACAATAATAATATTTAAATTATAGTATTCTATTTATCTATCATACGACAGCAGCTGAGATCTGATTTTTCTATTTGCTATCTGATCTTTCCATACACTTTATTTACAGTAATCTACTTTTGCAAAATTACAATATAACGTCAAATGTTATACAACCCCACCTTATTTTATTTAAAAAAAATACTCACTTTCTTTTCTAATATCTTTAGTGCTTTACTTCTTTAATTAACTTTGATTCCATGGCAACTTATTGGAATGTCATGTATAAAACAATTCTAATACATTAACTAAGCCATTTCATATTAAACTGAAATAATTATTATTGATATAGATCTGTAATTTTTAAAGATAACCCTGACTGCTTAACAGGTTATACATTATATAATATATTTTATGGGTTTTTTATGTCTCACACATGAAAAAAATATATTTTGACAGTAATAATCCAACAAAACTCAGTATTAAAAATATCAAATTTTGCACAAATAATTACCACCCCACTCTGTGCAACTATTGTTAACTATTAATATTCTGCATGTGTAAAATAAAGTGAATCAGCATTAATTCTAGTATGTATTAATTAAATAGCATAGATCATGATTACTAAAATATGCAAATTTGGGAAGTATTGAAAAAGTCAGATACTTTGAGGCTTATATTTTTATAAAGGTACCAATTACAATAAAATCTTCTGTGGTGAAAAAAAAATAGGGAACTTGTAAACATGAATTACTACAAAGTGTAATTATTTCACTCACTGTTTAATAAAATTAAAAATAAAGTATTGTCAAACAGGTAACTACAATTTTAAACCTAAGACATCAGAAGTAGATGTAAGAAAAATACCTTGAACTTTATGTTTTAGTTTATATAATAAGATGACTGTATGGTTGGCATTTATAGTGCTGTTGTAAATATTAATGATTTTAACACTGTGCTAATGTTGCTCTATTTTTATATTAAATTTATATTTTTGTATAGCAGTGATGTATTTTTACAAATTGAACACTCTTTTCAAAATCAATGTGAAAGTATGCAGAATCATCACTAACAAAACAACTCCACTTACTTGTTACTCAAGTTAGATTTATTTTATGTTGTTAAATATTCTTTTGATTTGTCAGTTCAACACAGCAAGAGAAATAATAAATACTGAGCTCTGTTATATTTCTAATCAGTTCTTATATACCTTTATATTTTATGCAGCCTAATGAAGCTTGTGCATGTAATAGTACATGTTTGCAGCAGTATTAAAATCCTTCTATATAAATGTACTTATCATTTTTCCCTACACAGTTTCAGCTTAACCAAACAATGTTGATAAGGCATGGATCATTTTCCTTTCATTTGTAAAGTAGCTTACATTTAAGTCTTTACCCATTATTCAAATGTGGAACATAAAGAATGATGTGTTACAACTTACACTATCAAATTATTCCTATGACATATATCACTTTACTCTGCATAAAGAAAAAAAATATAATGGACCCATGCCCTGTAAACAAAGAGTGACAACAGCTACTACTTCCTACCCTGGTGCTTTTGCTTGAACTATGGTTTTTGCGTGCATGACTCATGTTTCTGTGTTTAAATGCTAGACAGCTTGATTGTGGAATGTTCTGCAAATTATGTCAGATCCATAATAAAATGAGGAGCTTTATCTTGATTCCCTGCATCAAAAATATATCCATCATTACTTACTTATTATATGGTAATCAATGTAATTATAAAGAATATATGATTCACTGAAATGCTATGTGAGTTACAAATAAGACTGAAGCCTCTTTGTAGGTATTAATTACATGGATTTCCAAGCAGCATTTGTAAAACCTAGTTGTATACTGCATATATTTCATGTCCCACATTTTTCATTGTTGTTATTGCCTTATTTTAATTTTATGAAAAACTTACTACTTAAATACACATTTTTCCTGCATTAGAGTTGTTGGATAGTAGTTGCATAGCAGTGTTTTGGTTCTTTCTGGAACATGCAAGCACAGGCATGTGCTCCCCCCCCTCCACACACACACACACACACACACAGTGATCACATACAGAAGCACAACTACAGAGTCATAACATACACTATATGAGATTTGAAATTCACAAGATGGTAAAAAATTTGAATTCTGGTCTTCCAGATCATGTCACCATTGGTTTTGTATACGGTTACAAATGCTTTGAAGGAACCTGTTACCCAGGGCCAGATTTTCAGTTGTAAGGGCTTGGGGCAATCAAAATGTGGAGGTCCCCATCAGTGATTCGTGATTTTAGACAAGCAGATGTTTCAGCAACATATGTGGATTTGGTTTCTGTTTTGTGGAGGCCCCAGGGCTGCTGCCTAGTTCACCCCCACCCCCACCCAAATCTGGCCCTGCCGTTACCTCCGTCCTTGATGCTGCTTTGAAGGTGGAGACACCAGGTTCCTCCAAGTTACTGGCAACCACCCACTAGACCATATAGTTCATTATCTGGAACACCTTATTCTAAGAACAAAGGACTAAACTGCTGAAGGCAAAAATCTAAGCAAGAAGTATCTGCATGAAAAGGGCTCCACTCACATACAACCAACAGGGATGGAAAAGTTATGATCTCTGCTTCAACTGCAGCAATACAGGCAGGCACACACACAGTGCAGTTTCATGTATTTGCACAAAAACATTTAGGGAATTATCACAACTTACTCATTTTAACTGTGCTCAGCTGGATACTGTCTTTCCTTTACCCCATAAAATCTCTCCCAAAATGGCCACAATACTGTTATTTTTTTTATCTAGCCATTGTGTGTAGACAGAAGTTATAGTGACTGTTTATAAAGAATTTACAATATGAATTTCAGTTTGTATTCATGTGCATGTTCATTGTTAAATGCTCTTTCATAATCCAATAATGTATTATTTTATTTACTATAAATTAAATACTGTATAACATTTTGCATCCATTTGTTAAGAAATAACACAGCAAAACATGTATATGGCTCATAAATTCTGGTGTTTACTTTGGTTATGGAATTCTGGATATTAACCTATCAACAGTAGTTCAGATATCATTACTAGAGTAAGCAACCATCAACGTTGTCCCAAAAATAGCAGCACTTCATGTACTGACTGACTTTTATATTCTTATGTATGTGAACACTGCAACTGATACAAACTAGTAACAGACACTTGTTGTGAATGTGTAACACACACTGCAAATGCCTGTATGTTATGTGAATCCCATCATATTACAATAGCAGTAACAAAATCAAAAACATTGTACCTTTGTTCTTAAATCTATGCTTTAGGAGTTCTCAGAGAGTTTGACATGTATAAAATTTTGGTGGGTCCAGAATTCTGCCACTAATTATGATATTAATTTATATCTTACTGTGTGTTATTTCTGCCTCCAATTATTAAACGCATGGGACTTTTCAGTCCTGCTTACCATGTAGGTATTTCTCTTGTATTAACTGTTTGGGTATGAGAGGTATAAGGTCTATGGCACTATGCACCTTTCAATGACACTTTGTCACGCAAGCTCTCTTACATGTTTTGTGTGTTGCCTTATCCTTCTTTAGCCAGAGGAAGGGGTAGCTGAGTCACTAGACTACAATCCTGAAGAAACCAGAGAACACCTTGTTGAAACTCGTGAAAACCTCCCCTCTGGTTACTCCATAGATGAAGTGGACCCAATTAATGAAGTGGATAATTCAGTTGAGGTGTTTCACCCGATTGAACCAATAAGTTTGCACAGAGACATACTCATCAATAAACTCATGTCTGATCAGGCTATGAGTGGAGGAATGGTACAAGTTCCTGCTGATGTGGAGGTGTTTGAACCAGATAACAGAGATATTTATGAAACTGATGTTGAAGAATTTGTCCCTAGCAGTAGAGCTTTTCATGAAACGTTTCTTCCATATGCAAGTTCTCCATTCAGGCCTCGAAGTGAAAAGTTAACAAGCCTCACATGAGTTACAAAGTGACTGAGATTATTTTCCCAAAGAATATTAAACTACAGCTCTCTAACAAAGGTGATAATTTAATAACTGAATGGACTGTCTTTTACACTCAACTGACTATAGCATCACGCTTGAAATACGAGGTGACCATAAATATTACGGTACTCTACTATGTTACACTTGAAATATAGTAGATCTTTGAGGAACCTGTTCCCTCCAACTTCAGGGTTCTGAAGATGGAGGAAGCACACTGCTCTGAATACTGTTACCTGTCTACAAACTACACAGCATTACACCTTGGAAGGCTGAAAGTAACACTATCAGAATGTCAAATTTCATGATGTGATCATACCTAAAAAGTTAGTTGTAAGTAGGTTCAAATTATGGTGCCATAGATGTTAGGATCTGTCCCCAAAACTGTTAGATCTGCAGAATAGTTGGAGATCCACTGCATTCTCTGGACACAAGTGATCCTCATTAGCATGCTTAATTTAAGCATATTAAATATATCTATAATTTAACAAATGCCTTACATATACTTTTTTCAAAATGACTGATACAGTGCTTACTCATTCATAGTATACTTAAAAAGAAATTTCAAATGTGTCAAAGTATGTGAACACTGCAATGATTCTCCTCATCTGCACACTGTGGATGAAGGAACTGAAGTACCGTTACTGATTCAGCCAAGTTTGAACACAGGTATTGTTGTTAGTACAATGATTGTATTTCGGACATTATCCATCATCCTGTTTTATTTAAAACACACAACTTTTCTTGGGAGATAGGGACTAGCTCTACTGATTGGATCTGATGATGGAGACATAATCCAGTCTCCAAAATGTTGTGTGTTTTAAATAAAAACAGGATGATGAATGGGGCCCAGAAACACAGTAATTGTGTCAATATACCATCCTCACAAACCTTTAGATCATTGATAGTATTTTCATCTTCCTTGTGTGAAAAAAAAATCATGTAATGATGCTCTCTTCTCATCCAAAGATACAGTGACATGCTTTTGAACACAACAGCAGAATGTGCCATTTGTAAATTAATTAAAAGTTATAATAAAACTGAAAAATATTCCATCATTTGAAACACTAGGATTCCTAATTCCCATAATGACTACTCTCTGAGATTGGAAGAATGTATGTGATCTCCTGTTGGTCTAATCCCCAGACAGGGTGAACATTCTTAATGACAAAATTTATTTAGAAATGGGGTTCATCTTATAGTAGCACACTATTTTGTGCATCTGATCATGTATGCCAATACTGACACACACTGAGTTCCATGGTTCCTTCTGGTCAAAGTTACACTTGTTCAGTATACTTAACTACTTGAGAAAGGAATTCAATTAATCTTAAAAGTAAAAAATCTGGATCCTAATTCATCAGAATAAGATACAATGTGTTTTCAAGTCCTCTTATGCACATGAATGTTACTCGGACAGTGTAAACCTGAGAAAAAATACACTAATTTATTAGAAGATATTACCAGTACCTGTGTAATTTGTCAGAGGCAAAATGATCATTACCTCAAATTAGGCTTCACTGAACAAGAATACAAAACGCCAGATATATTATTTATTTTCATGAATTGTTGTTAGTTAGAAAAATGAACTCAGGATTTTAAGCTGTTGTACAAAAATTAACAATAATGTATGCTTTAGTCATTCTAATGAAAGATAACTCAAAATGCAAACTTGCCATGTATGAATGTGTCATGATTGCAGAGTGAATGCATAAGGATGATGTGTTGAAATAAAAGCAAATGAATTTTATAATAAACTTTTTTTACACCTCTTAAGTATCTATTTAATTCTTGCTATATGTATGTTGAATTCCCTAGCTTCCTTCAAGGGTTCCTATTAAAGTTGAATATGCAGTAATGAGGGATAAAATTTAAATAACTGTTGTTTTGGTCCATGAAATCTGTGCCAAAGCCAAGCTGACATAAGCAAATAACCCCCAATCCACAGCTCCACATTACTGATTTTACAGGAGTCTGCATGAAAGGTATCCAAAATAAAATCATCATATCTCTGAAAGAATTTATTATACACATTAATGGGTTACACCATCACAAAGGGAAAGTATCAAAGTATTTTTCTTTGTCTATAACTTTCTTAATAAATTTAAATGTTGGCTCCATTGGTGGCATGACAAATATCCAGGCTTGAAGCTTGGTGTTACCATAGCCACAGTGTCCCTTATGCAGGCTTTCAAGTGTTGAAGGTCGTTGATCTTAACCTGGTAGACAATGTTCTTCACATAACCCCAGAAGAAAAAATCTGCTGGGGTTAAATCTGGTGACCTAGGAGGCCAAGTGATTGATCAATCTCTGCCATTCATATCCCAGCCATCTCTCTGTCCACGTGATTCCTAACATGGTGGCAAGAATGTGGTGGCGTATGCATGTAAGCCAGGTACGAAAAAAAAAAACTCAAAATTTTCCTTTCTGATGACATAAATGGGATGAGTGTGTGACAATTAGTTTCCAAGATATCAATTATTTTATTTTGGATACATTTCATTGGGACATCCTATATTTATGGAATATTTAACAGTGCTGTCAGTAGTGCAGAATGATAGGATGACATGAAATTGGAAGGATGTCAAAGGAAGCAGTTGGGGCATTGTTTCAGCATATGCCTCCGGGATCACATTTTAACTTCATACCAAATGTTGTCCAGTACTCTTTCCTCTAGATCTCAATGTAATGGTCAGATACTGCAGAACCAGAGAACTATGAGACAGTGTATCAGCTATTTACGGGCTTCCAAGAAAATCTATCTTTCAGTTAGGAGGGAAGTACACTATAAAATTCTTACTCAGTTTGGAGTACCCATGAAAGTAGAGACTAACTGTAGTGTGTTTATATTAACATACAGTAAAGTTTGTACAAGAAGTCTGGTGGGGATAAATCAGGAGAATATGGGGTGATTTAATTCTGGAAGAGGTCTCACATTGTTGTGCAAGAGGAACCAGCTTCCTGTTGCCTGAAACTGAGGTCTTACTCAACAAATTCTTTGAACCAAAACAGACAATACTTTCATATAATATTCCTTATTCATTATCTGAACTGGTGGAACAAATTCTGTGAATGATTCTCCGACTGTCAAAGAATGTGACCAACATCACTTTGTTTTTTTACTTTTGAAATAAAAAATTTTTGTTATCTCAGAGAGCCTAGTGAGTGTCATTTTATGCTTCATCTTCTTGTTTGCGGATCATACTGGAAACACCAGGGCTCATCACCCATTACAACAGAGTCAAGCATCCACAAACTGAATAACTCTTGACAAGCTTGCACTCTGAGAGCCTTCTGTCCATTGATCACAGAGTGTGGAACAAACATAGTGCAGATCTTTCATTAAGATTTTCTTATTTGTTTCTCCGCTACTTTTTGGGTTCCTCTTCCATCATCAGAAGAGTCATTCAATGATCAGCTGAAGTCAATTCACGAACTGTTTAGATCACGTCAGGTGTTTGAATGGCTGTTGGTCGTCCACTGCGTTAGTCATTTTCAAGATTTTCAAGGCAGTCCCAAAATCTTGCACACCATTTAAAAGCCTGTGTATGTAGGAGAGCATTGTCACCACAAGCTTGTTATCAGCTAGAAAGTTTCAGTAGCTGCTCTTTCATACTGAAACAAAACTTAATGTTCGCTCTTTGCTCTGTCACTACAAACTCTCACGATGTACACAGTATAAAATCTTAAACACAAATGGGCATGGATGACAAGAGGAGCTGGCTGACCTTGTGCAGGGAATATGAAGGAAGAATTGCCTCACACGGACAAATTGAGCCATGTTCCTACCTGCTTTTAAATGCGCATAATGGTCTCAGTCCAGGAATTTAATTATCAAACCTTGTATAAGTAAACACTTAATTTTCTCAAACAAGACATCTTACCACCAATGCTTTTCACAACCTGGCTCTAGGACGTGCCATTAGGAAGGTCCAAGTAAACGATGGGCTGAAATGGATTTGGACACATCACTATCTGGTCTATGCTAGTAATTCATTGAAAGAAAAACAATACCATGAAGATAACCATAGAATTTCTATTATATTGTGAAAAGTTATCTTACGTCCATTGCCGCGCAACGGCTACAATGGAAATTGTGGAGATCCCACAGTGACAAATCATGACAGAAGGCCGTTGAGTAACAATGGACGAGACGAAACCCGTTACAAGTGTATAAAGATTGTTCCCGAAGCAATGGATTGCCGAACACGTGAGATCAAACCTTGGCGAATGGTGTCTCGTATCCGGTCCGCAGAATACCTACATAAGCCGAGAACCACAGAGCTAATTAGCCTTCAAACAACGCAGTTGTAACCTAGCCTTCATAGAACACAGCTGAAAGATAGCCGCCGCAGAATACAGTTGAAGTGATAACAATTGTAAGGTGTGTAAGACTTAGTGCCCAATAAAGATTCGCTGAAGTTATTTGTCACGTGACATACCCAACACATGACAATATGCTAGTTAAGATGGCAGGTATATAAGTAAACAGATAAAACAAAGGACATTTCCATGGTAGTGAACTATAATGCAGGGCAAACCCGCAATATAAACACAGTTAACACATCATTTGAAAAGGTAGCAAAATCCAAATAAGTGGGAAGACACTTAACACATCAGAATTGCACTTACAAAAGAAAAGTAAAGCAGATTACATTAAGGAAATGCTTGCATTCAGCTCACAAATCTCGTGTCTTTGCATCTACTACCTAAAACTGTAACACTCTTAAGGTAAATGTAAAGTTGTCCCTGTGCTTAATTTAGTGTTATGCCATGAACACATGTGGGAATGGAGACCTAGCTCCACCTTTCTTGGCCTAAGCACTAGATGGAGGTGAGTGGTACAGATTAAAATATACAAAACCTTAACTTTGCCCGTTGTTTTGTATGGGTATGGAACTTGGTCTCTTGCATTAAGGGAAGAACATAGACTGAGGGTATCTGAGAAGACTCTTTGGACCGTAGAGGGAGTTAGTAACAGGAGGAGAAAACCTGCAAAAGAGGAGCTTTGTAAATTGTGCTATTATTATTAGGATGATATGGACAGGTTATGCAGCAAACATGAGAGAACAAAAATATACAGGAAGTTTTGGTATTATGACCTGCAAGAAAAATATCACTACAAAGTTTTAGGAAGAAATTTGAGAATAATACAAGGGTTATTTGGAAAGTAACCTGTTTATTTTAGGCAACTAATGTAGGAGGGGGAGAGCTCGCGCATGCGAGGTGGCCTCGTGATTCATTGTCTTGCAAACCATCACACAACTGGTCACTTAGTGTCTGTTTTTATCTCTACAGAGTGAGTAATGATGTGTCCTGCGCCTGANTTATTTTAGGCAACTAATGTAGGAGGGGGAGAGCTCGCGCATGCGAAATGGCCTCATGATTATCTTGCAAACCATCACATATCTGGTCACTTAGTGTTTTTTATCTCTACAGAGTGAGTAATGATGTGTCCTGCGACTGATAATCCCACCAGCTTCAAAATTCGTGCAAAACTTACATTTTTTTTACTGGCGGAGCCTGCTTCCATCTGAGTGGGTATATCAATGCTCAGAACAATTTGTACTTCAACAGCACTAATGTGAGACAGACTTCTGAAATACCGCTTCATGATCAGAAGACTAACATGTTTCCCATTACCACTATATGAATAGTAGGACCAATATTTTTTTAAGGTACTATTCAAGTGGTATGTCAGTGACATTCTTTAGCCCTCTGTTAAGAGCATTACACAGAAACAAGTTTCACATCTGCGAAACAAGTATGTCTGTTACGGTCAGGGAACTCAAACTAAGCCAGACAATCTTTTTAATGGATCTCAAGTTCTTTTCGGAGCAGAAGGGAGACATTTTGAGCATTTACTGTAATGGTGGGCTCTCTGAAAAAATTATTTACTTCAAGAAACACATGTCTACAATTCACAGCACATTAACCACCAATCTAGACTTCATTTTCCTGGCAGCCCACGTCTACGGGTTCAACTAGCATGCTGACAATAAGTCAGGAGAGTAGATCTTCAAGAAAGGCTCTGTATAAGTTGCTTCTCAAAATTTTATTAATAGATTGGAAAATGGGTTAACAAAATTAAGGCATTCATAATTCAAATTAATTCTTAGCAAACCACTTTATTCATCCTGTACAACAGTAGTTTTCTCAGAGACATAAAGACCATCAAGGAATTTTCGGATGTCCTTGTTTTTAACTGTCGTTGACTGCTGGATGAGGGCAGCTGAAATATGAGAACAATTAAATGTAACAACTACATCCAATGTGTTATGGCATATAATTTCATCATCTCATAAGAATACAACTTTTAAAGTGTGAGACGAATAAGACAGGCTCACTGTACACGTTGCGACTGTTGTATGCTGTAACTTCCAAATCTTAATATATTTTTGTCATAAGCCATTGTTGTAAACCTGTCCTATTCAGAATAAGAAACAGTATAATTACCGTTATTTATAAATTTCTGTACACATGCACATTCATCTAAGTGGCTATAACATCAGTGACTCCCACGGTCGGAGCATGATACCTGAATATTGCAATCTGGGCAGATGGAGCTTATGATGGAACAAAGCAGCCCAAGTACACTTCCATTTTATTCCTTCTGAATGGTCCGTGTTAATATCATCCAGTCCGTCCATTAGTACAATGAAGATGCAAACCAACTACCAGCAATGTAAGAAACAACTGGCAACAAATGGAATTTGTCTACTAGGAACCAACCACATACCTATTTAAATGGAACCGGGCACACTGGCCCCAAACTGAAGTTGTCATAGATTAGGCACACTGCAATAGTTAATCGATGCAAAGGCCCATAAATTTACAACATAAACAAATAAGGGTTTCAAGCAATCAACTGTTGTAGCTGTATATGCTCTCACAGAGTCCTTACCTGATCTTGAAACATCCTCAATGTTGTTGCCTTCAAGGATAAGCTCATCCTTCTGCTTAGGAGAGTTGGTAACAGTCACACCAGGCGCCATCTTCACTCTGCGTATGTACTTCTCCCCCAAGAAATTACGCACTTCAATGACAGTGTTGTTTTCTGTTGTTACACAGTTGATAGGGAAGTGGGCATATACAGCACGCATCTTATAAAGGAAACCCTGTGGGTGGAAAAAAGATCACACTGTGTTAACTACTGGAACACAACCCTAAAAATGCGATTATATGACCCCAATACAATTCCTTAAACACATGCACTCTCAAACTAGAGGGCCTCTCTGTGTGATGCTACCATTAAAACTCGAAATGCAGTCCAAATCCATTTTGATCTATAGAAAATATATGCCAATCAGCATGCAATATATCACAAAAATAAACTTTTCATGGTATCTCACTCAATTTTCACTGAACTGAAGTTCTTCCTACAGATACAGACACCTTCAATTACACACATTTATTCCAAATTATATGCCACTTCTGACAAAATTACATATGTCAGCACACATGGGGATATGATAAATGCATAAAGTAAAGTAAAAAAGTAAATCTAGCCCTGTAACAGGCCATAAAGGCCCATTGGGTTGTGAGCTGTTGAGGGTCCCACATTACCTAGACAATCGGCTCAAAGATGGCGGTAAGGTTGTTAGCCTTATGTGCCAGCCGTGCTTTACTCCCCAGGAAAATTATTTAATTAATTCTTCGTACTCACTTCTGTTAGAGGCTGAGTCGACCCCAGGGCCATAGCGCGGCTGGAAGGATTAGGTCAAACGAAAAAAATCCAATGACCTCATCGGGACTTGAATCCGTGACCTTCCGGCTTGTAGCATAGTACCTCAACCAACTACACTACAGCGTGCCCCACATGATAAATGCATACACAATTTTAATCAAACCCTTACAGGAATAGATGAGAGCACAACATTAAAACTGATTTTAAAGAAAAAACTGGACTGAACTACTTCAGGATATGACCTCATTTGCTGACTCTCTTAAACACAGCAGCAAACCACATCATAAAAAGCAGGTAATTTGTCAGTTATGTGACCATCAGCTTTTGAATAAGGACTCTGATCCATAGAATTATGGAATGAAAAGTACAATTTCACAGGGTTAAAAAGCAAGCATGAATCAACGTTTGAAAATTTGGTTTGAAACTGCAGTTAGGCCGACCGGAAGTTTGCTTGTATTAAACAATTCACATTCACATCCTGAAGTTTAATACCATGCTGGTTCCATTTAAAACAGGAGTGTGTGATGCTATCAGCTCTCTTTGTTCTGGGTACTTATATTATAAAGGATATTTTACTGTCCTACTACATTAAAAGTAGCACGGCTCTTCCAAGTTTAGTACATTCTTCTACATTAGCAGGAGCAAAGATCATAGTCTGCTGTTTGGCAATCTTAGTTCTGTTTAAGTCATGACACAACTTCACAGAGTGGAATCAGCCAATTTCATTCTTCCTCAGCTGTACAACAAAGTACTAGGGGAACATGTACAATACATACAAGTTTCCCTATTATGAGGTGAAGTATGTATAAATGTATGACAGACAAAAGATTCAGTGATGCTATATTCTTACTATCTAGAACTAATGGTAAGCATGTACACATGAATGTTACAATAAATTAGCAGCATGAAGCGTCAGCACTCACTTCCAGCTAGTGCCGAGGTCAAGAAAATGTGGCTCTCTAGATCCAGTCCCCCATACACCTTCATGGTGTAGTGCTTAATCAGTTAAGCACAAGGTCAATTTTACCTTTATGAAGCGTCAGCAAAACGTAACCATGGGCTGAGATGAAATTACAGCAGCAACTGATGTAAATAACAGTTTGTTCCACTATAGCTTAAATGTGACCAACTCAATACCCAACAATCAGTCTGCTTTGCAGGGGGGATACCACAAAGACATAAGTATGATCACTCAGACAAAAATATTATTAAATTTGCCCATGTAATTTACTTCACTTCTTGCTCAAAATATTGCGCCCAAAACTTCTGGCACAAAAAAANTTTATTTCATTTTTGATCAAAAAATTCCCCCCAAAACCTCTGGGAAAAAAAAAAAAAAAAAAAAATGAACATCACACTTCAGGGTATAATTTTACCTTTACATTGAGGTTAGGGAAATTATGGCCACATAATGATGCAATAAGCAATCTTTTCACCTGCCTGTATAAATGTTATATTTCCTCATGTTGTTGCAAAACATTATTAATAAGCCAATATGATAATACAAACACCTTGGTTATAGAGTAAAATAGGATAATGTTCAGTCCAGTGTGACATACAATTTTACAACACTTCAGTCCTCATTCACCTTACATGTTTCGATTCAAAAGAATCATCCTCAGAGGCGCACCACCACAATCAGGAAACACTGTCACATAAGATATTAACAATATGCACTTAGGCCATGAATAATGCTCACTACATAAATTTTGTTATTATCATGGTTGTAGGACTGAAGTGTTGTAAACTTGTATGTCACACTGAACTGAAAATTATCCAATTTTACTCTGTAATTAATAGTGTGATGGACCAAAATGAGACAAATCAAACCTTGATTATACCCCTCCTCTACCTTCTTTCTATTTCGTAGGAATGCCAGTCCTGCTTATTGAGCAGTTTCACTCAAGGAGACATGAAAGCAAAATAAAGAAAGAATGTCCATTCTGCCCAACAGCAGCAGCAACTCCTAAGTTTGCTTAGCAGAATCTATAAAAGCACAGGTGACAGAGCAATATTACGACAGAAACAGTGAATAAGGGATGAAGAATTGAGGATGGGTGTTACTGGACTACATGAGAGCCAGAAATGGCTTCATACTTATATAAAAATTGGATAAGTATATACAGAATGCGTGAAAATTCTTACCTATGGGCTTCACTGCATGATTTAACGAAAACTGAGACAAAAATTACCCTTTCTTAAGTTTTGACTAATACATAATTTTGGAAGGAAAAGCACTTACGAAGTTCAATGTGATGTGGCTAAGTGCTTCTTAGTCTTTTCCTTTCCACCTACCTGCAAATATGCATATATTTCATGAGATGATCATGTGTAGTGTGTGTTACTTTGGAAGCCAAACCATATGTCTGTTCAAACTGACACTTCATGCCCACAAGCAATGCTACAATAAAATGGTATACATTTCATGTTTGTACTCTGAATTGTAACAAGTTATCAGACCTCCAACATTGCCTACGGTTCCAAGTTTATGGGACACACTGCACATTACATACCTTAGTTACTCCTTTAATCATGTTCTCAATATGAGAGCAAACGGTGCGCACAGCTGCCAGCTCTTTCTTGGTTCCAAACCATTTTTCAACCTTCAGCCGCTTTGGATGAACCAACTGAAAAAGAATATATATAAGCTAGCTGGGTCTGCTCGGCGTGGTGGCCACTGATTGGCCTATTGTACTTGCCTCGGGTGATTATGACAGAGAATTTGGTGGAATGAAGATTGGCAGGGGAAACTGAAGTACTCGGAGAAAACCCGCCCCAGCGCCTCTCTCTCCACCACAAATCCCACTTGACCAGACCCGGGATCGACCCCAGGCCACTGCGGTGGGAAGCCAGTGACTAACTGCTTGAGCTATGGCACTGCCTTAGCTAGACAGATTAGGCATTATAATCAATTATGTTCCAACAATTCAAAGTTTATGAGTACCACTTAGAATGTGTTTTACTAACATACTCCCACATGTTACGCCTATCAAAAGCTATTATCAGTTATACTGTGGGAGCAGTTTGTTGGTTGCAACAGTGTATGACATTCCCATTATGTGTTATTGCTAAACCTTTCCTGTACAGGCAGCTACAGCACAGTGTCTACACAGACTACCCACTTTGAACACCTCTCAGAACCAACTGTACATGAACACAACAGAGAGTGTATAATCCTCGGCACACTTGGGGTACAGTAAACACTAATTATTACATCATGAAGTGAAACAGTGTGCTTAAGATGTGGATTTCCTGGGCTCCAGAATCTGACCTGGTGTTCTGTACTTGTAAATGTTCTTTCAAATAAAATCAAGTGGTGGGGTGGGGAGAGCCAATTCAGGATCAAGTTCACAAAATGAAGTGACCAAACATATTCTGGTCACTCCAAAAGTAATGCCTCATAATCCATTTACAACACTAATTTCATACCAGGCCGTGTTACTTCTAAATTTACAGAAGCACTATCTATAAACATGACCCAATTTCTCTACATAATCACGATCATGCTCAACTGCTTTGTTCCATCTTGAAACAAGAACTGGCAAAATTCCTGCCATGTTCATTTCACACCCTTCACAATTATGTCACCTATAAATTTTGTCTCACAAATGCCATCCTTCATTTTACCAGAAACAATGTTGCTCAAATGGCACCAAAGGGAAACAGCCCACTTAGTATTGGCAATAGCTTCCATGACCCAAAGACTGGTATGGATTCAAGCACTGTTGTCATGCAGAAAAATCAAGCATCTGCCCGCATGATTAAATGTGGTTCAGACAAGCAATATTTCCAACATGTTCCTGTACACCTATAAACTGGCATGACACACTTGCTTACTTAGTTAGTTAGTTATTGGAGAGGGTGGGTTTTCCCATGCACTGAGACCTGTATTGGTCCATTGTGCTTCCCTCTATGATGTCTACCAGTCTCTATATCCTACGGTACTGGTGCTTACCATCAGTCCCGCCCAGCCAGCGAGACCGGCTCTACTAGCTGAGAGGTATCTATAATGCTTCCCCCATCTACCAGAGGTATTAGAGACTGCTGTTGGGCGGGAAACGTCCATTAATTTGGCTCAGTGACCTCCTTTGAAGATATGAGGTTCTTTTACGTGCTGTAAAGCTATGACATGGGACCCACGGCTTAAAGTCCCTCCTGGAGGACATGTTCCCTGAATTTTTCCGCCCTTAAAAATTCGACGACCTCCGCTGGGTATTTGAACCGGCGTACTACGAGTCATGAGGTGGGAACGTTACCTCTAGACTACGGAGGCCTCTCACTTGCTTGCTTGCTTACTTACTTATGGAGCAGAGCCCTTCTTGAGAAGCCAAATCTGCAGCTACTCAAGAATTTCCCAGCATTTTATGGAACCCAAAGGTTCATTACCATGTTCACAAGAGCCCTCCACTTGTCACTATCCTGAGCAAGATCAATCCAATCCATACCATCATATCTAAGATCCATTTTAACATTGTCCACCCACCTATGCCTTGGTCTTCCCAGTGGTCTCTTTCCTTCTGGCTTTCCCACCAATATCCTATATGCATTCCTCTTCATCCCCATTCATGCTACATTCCCTGCTCATCTCCTCATTATGCAGTTTTCTTCAACCTCCTGTCACTTCATCTCTCTTCAGTCCAAATATTCTCCTCAACGCCCTCAGTCTGTGTTTCTCCCTTAATGCGACAGACCAAGTTTCACACCCATACAGAACCACAGGCTCGCATGACACACATACACAATTTCCTCCATGTCCCCATATACGTTGTCATGGCCTGACCAGTGAAGAAATCACATGAAGCCACTACAGACCTTTTGTCTCTTCTTTGAAATTATGCAATCAAGTGCCACCTCCAATCTTGACGCATAACAGAAATTACTGTCCATTATCAGACCCTTAAGAGTTTGACAACTGGTACTGTGCTGTTCCCTGTGTACATGTGTCAACTGTTGAGGACCCAAATAACATCTACTGTCCAAAAACATTAAAATATACAAAACTGTAACTTTCCCTATAGTTTTGTATTGGTGAAAAACTTTGTCCCTGACATTAAGGCAAGACAGATGCTAACAGTATTTTGGAATAAAGTGTTGTGGAGAATATCTGGATCAAAGAGGGATGAACCATGTGGCATGCAATGTGTTACAGTTCAAAGAATACCCCTTATAACAGACCAAGAATCTTATTCACCCATTAGTGGGCCAAACTATAGTGTCTGTGTAAGCTTTAACACACAAAAATGAGTGCTATCATATGACAGGATGGAAGATCTGGAAGGACCTTAAGATGTCTGAAAATGTGATATCCTAAGTTACAATGATCAACATACATGGATGTCTAACGCAAGATGCTTAAAATTCCTTTTCAATACTCCACGTGGCCCCTTCACAGTCACTAGCCGAGACTTGACAGACACAGTGACCTCTCTGGGGATTTTCACAGTCTGGTTCGTTACAATCTGCTTCATCCTAAAACCAGAACATATTGTGTAAAGTGAAACAAACTCTACAGGACTTCAAGCTCATTTGATAAACCAGTTTCATCCTAAAGCCACAATAAATACAACAGTGTGGATTGATCAAATATGAGTCATCCTAAAAGTCATAACATGCATGACAGTCTGAAGGGTTTTAATTAACAGCATTCTTATTCACTTGGTTTCATAACTTATGTCAGAATTCATGTCCATGCACCCCTTATCTGTATAGAATTCATGAATGTGAAAATTCCAATGGGGCAATGTGTGAAAATTATGTACCTCTTTAACATATGCATTAATGGAACAAACGTTATTTCCCGAATATGTTTCTTGCTATTTAGCAGTGATGCATTTCATGGATCCTGCTGATGAAGTCAATACCTAACATACTAAAACCTGTACTTCTGTACCTTATCAAGTCCGTCCATTGCACTTTCTTTTTGTGAATCCACTGCTATAAATCCATCAGGCAGCACTACGTTTGCTCGTATTTAACGAAAGTGCATTATACCGTAAATATTTACGCACACTTCTATAAATCATTTTTTTACGTCTTATGCGATATGCAGTTTCTGAGCTTAATTGTTTCACAAATGACAATTTTACTGAAATGTGTCTGCTTCTGGAAATTGCGGACGGACACGTACTATCTATCAAAATGCAATTACTTCATGCCAAGAACTCTGAAGAAATGACATACACAACGCATCACCTAACTTCACTGTAAACGGATTCGAAATACATCAAACCAGAGCAACCGGTGAAGAATAAATATTTCGTATTCTTATCCGGTTACATGCTACTCCATTTAAAAACATCTACTTCGCCAATTCCTAACTACACCATCCTACTAACACAATGTTATTCAAATCATACAGACAGTACCTTTGCTGTCACATATGACCTCTAAGCACGTTTACATACAATTACACCTATAACTGACCTTCACTTTCGAATAATGTACGGATTCCACCAGATGAAACAGAATTACAAAGCCATCCTCAAACAGCTTTCACACCATCACTTCCACCATTTACCGGAAACAGAACCGTAGTCCTTTTATAAATTGACTACAGGAGCGCTATAGCCGCTATAGTTCATGTAGATCATGATTCCACGGATTGCGGCAAACAGTAACAACAGTAACAACCATGGACTACCTACTCTCTACTTTACGGAATGTATATGGTCACAAATTGAATGAAAACCATGAAATAATTTCACTGATAATTACAAAGAACAATAACATGAGTGTAAGTGCTTTACAATGTGCAGCTGGAGATCCAAGAGCTACGAGATATGTGAACCGTGACATATGAATTGGTATATATCCGCACTGGCTTACTAATATCTACCAAAGGCAATATCGACGTACGAGCGTTAGACCTTCGCTCCTGTGAAAACCTCATGTCTCATACATTATTTATTTGGATGTGTTATGCCCTTATGGCATAACGAAGAGACATTTGAAAATCCGGGGCTCTAAAGAGCCCCGTTGAACTTCTTCAACCTAAAAAAGTTGTAACAGGTCTCCCTTGTAAACGATCATCAATAGGTGAACCGAAATTTATCATTAATAGATAGAAGTAGTCCTGCATTTCGTCGACTTTCTAGTGCCTTTCATGCGTTCTACACAGCTATTCTGTCGCCCACCACATTGTCGAACACTTGCTGGAGCAGTTGTGTCACACATTTTATTTGAAAATTGAGCCCAAACGAATCTGACCAATTTCAGTTCACAGTTACATAATGGCAGGCTCAAATTGTACAACCCATTTCCTTTTCCACTTTGTCGATAATTGACATATTTCGGTCGTAACAATACTGAAAAAATTCCATTAAATGCTTCTTAATCATATACTCCTTTGAAGTTTCTCCATACGACATGATGCGGTCATTGATTGTATCCTTCCACAACGTTGAAATGTTTTCAATTTTGCGGTTGTGCTAGGATGAATTGTGAGTGTGTGCATTAGTTAGTTTTGAGAGAGATTTGGGAGAATCTGATCTCTGAAGCACTGTCATCAATTTTGTCATGTGTATCTGTAGTTTTCTATTTGAATAGAAATATGAGTTCTACTTGGGCAGGAAGCTCAATCTATCCATGTGGATACTGGCAAAATGCAGACCTAGAGCATTAGGTGGCTTCAATCCAGTGGAAAGATATGCCAGAAAATCCTGCTGTAATGCTTTCAATGTCATATCTTTTCAAATCTTTCCAACAGCAGTTTCTGTGTTAACCACACAATTCATCAGTGTAAACATTCATTCCAGTATTTCTATATGATTTGATTACAAGATAATCATGATGCCACACCTTAGTGTCTTTTCACTTAATTATGGCTTTTTGCCCTTTTCTTACATATTTGAATCCAATTTCTATACATAAGGTAGATTTGATATTGTGACATGTACACCCACTGCTAGGGAATGAGTGACAAATACATTTCCATAGGGATGGATTCTTGGAAACCAACTTGTTATGGAACACGCTTCCTGGTATATGAAAATGTCCAGTGTCCAGGTCTGTTCTAGGCATTACCCAGTCCCTTACCTAACATGCATCAGGAGCTCTTTCCCTGTGGCAAGGTGCCCAATGCATGAAGCTGCCCCCTGAGCTCCCTCTAGTACTGGGCTAAGATTGCCTGGTCCTTTACTCCCACTCCCTCAAATAGAAGCTGCCACTGAAATCTACTAGTTTCTGACATGAAACACGAGGACAGCAATGACTTTAACTGAAGAGTTATATCCTGTAGGATGTAATGCCATGCAGTCCTGAAAGTCAAATGACATTTTGGAGGAACATGTCACCTCTGAAACCTTGGTTAAATTTCAATGAACCACATGGTGGCACATTCCACAAGATGCAACTATCCTTAACCAGAGTTGTGAGAACTTCAAATCCAACATGACTTTGATTATTTGTTCATCTTGTACACTTTGTGCAACAGCACTTAAAAAGAAAGAAACCTTACTTGTGGTACGTTTTTAACAAAGTTCACTTCCAGCCTTGGAGTTACACGTGGTAGAGTCATTAAGTTCATGGAATGTGGTTTTATTGTGTCATATTACAAGGTATTCACTACAATTACACAGATCCACATCGGCCCTCAAAATAGTTGCCGTCGGCCACCATGCAAGTTTGCCAACGTTGATATAGCTGCTGAAAACATTGCTGAAACATATTGGCAGGAAATTCCTGTATGGCGTCTCTTGTGGCAATGACCACCTCCTCGGACGAGTGAAATCTATGACCACGTAGCTATGCTTTCAAATGGTGAAAGAGAAAGAAATTGCATGGTGCGAGATCAGGTGAGTACGGAGGGTATGGCAAAAATGTGACCTGTTGCCTTGTCAGTTTCTCTTGGACAAGAACGGAGCGATGTGCAGGGGCACTGTCGTGTAGCAACAGCCAATTCTTCCTATGCCAAATGTTTCGCTAGGGGATTGCCTAGTTTTTGGCAGAACTTTATGTTTGCCCATTGTTAAAACTGTCACATTTTCAATTGCCATCACTTGCATTTAACTGCAGTTCACAATAGAGGTCATAGTTCTACTTACACTGTTTGCACACAACTGCCTCTTGCTGTGACGAGAGATGAACAGACAGAACATCATATTGTGCCCCAACCTATCCGCTGTAGTGCAGTGCAATGACGCTTTGCGGCCATTCCACGAACTTATTGACTGTGGTAGTATTAACTTTGGATATCCAAAACTTTACACGACTTCTGAACATAGTAGGGCCTAATAATAATCGCAGAAATGTTGTATGTCAGCCTTGATATTATCCTTCACATTAGGTTGTACTCCATAAACCCTGCTGTTATCAGAACTGGTTTAAAAGCTACGACTATTCAGCTCAATTAAAATACAACATGAAATCAATCAATGAATCAAGACCTAATTCCAGCAGAAGACCAGTTACATACTATTCCCACCAGAATGGGTTTCAAAGCAAAACACTATAGGTGCACTTGGACTTCCATGAGCTGGAAATTACATCTTTTTCAAACACATTGTTAGAGCCTCTAAACACGGGTTTGCCTCTTAGTTATTTCATTACTTCATGGTTAAGTGATGTTGAATGGGAGTATAACTGTGAATATGGTGGTAGAAAGGATGTGGAAGAAGTGTTCATGGCGCCACTAGATTTAAAATATACATGCCCTCAAATTAGTCAATGTTTTAGATATCCCACTCACTACAATGTTTTTTTTAATGTATGGCATAACTTTGTCCAGACTCTTGGGAATATTTGAAGAGTTTTGTCTTCAGGGACATAATAGCATTTAGTCCATTAAAAGTTAACTGATGTTTCAGAGTAACATGTTGCCTCCATCTTCAGGATTATTCTTCAACCCTGAAAATGGGAGGTAATATGTTCCTATGAACTTGTTTGTTCAAAAGACTACATGGTGTTTTGTCATCAAATACAGAACTCTTAACACCCACTGCTGAGAAAAACTCAATATTGCTGAAGAATATTTACTTTAATATATTCAATATGTACTTAGATTATCATGTATGATCACAGATCATGTCTCTCAATTAATAAATATTTGATATACCAAATATCAAGAAAACTCCTATATCTGGAGCAGCATCAGTGGTAGTACACTGGAAAGATGGACATGAAAAAGATAACAGGTGTTCATCTTATTTTCACATAACAAACATAATATAGCATAAAACAATTAGGGATACTGCTGCCAAACACAAGATGTGGGCAAAAGTATGTTTCCCATAAGCAGCTAAAAATGTATGGAAACCACTAGCCTAGTTCTGTATCTTCTGTATATTCTTCAGTGAGATAGGTTACCTCCGCAGCAGATATTAGATCTAGCTATGTTACTGGTTCAGTAGTGTAGTTCACAATAAAGGTGCTAAATCTTTAGTCTGAATACTAAGATTTAACACATCACACATATGTACAATGACATACACACTCAGAAGTAAAATATGAAAATGTGTATACGTTTGATGGCACAGTACTACACAAGCATCCCTCAATTTATGATGGTAATTCGTTCCATGAAAACTGTTCATAAGGTGAAAATCTGAGAGTCCGATAATGATGTTCCCATTACTTTACATGTAAAAGTTGCCAACTTGTTCATGAGTCCCAGAAGAGTCCCGCAATATTTTTAATATATGATTTAATTGTAAATAAACATTAAAATAATGGCAGTATTATTTGTTTATATTTATTTAAAATAAAATTGTATTATTTTATTAACACTCATTTTTTCATAGCTGAAGTAATGCAAATGATGCAACTTGTAGCCAAACATGTTACTGTCCTTACTTTCTCTGGCTTACCAACGGCCCTCACAACCACTTTCATTTATACTGGTGCCATGACAGACATAAATACCACAGACATTTATGGATAAAATGTACGTAATCAAGAGCACAGCTGATTCTGCCTGATCACAAAGAGGTACATGGACAGGCTGGGAAAGTGGAAAATGCACATAGGTGAGGATGTCTGCTTCTTCCCATGTACTTTGTATGCATTTCTCCACCTTCACAAGAAACCTTCTTACAAAACTATGTTCTTTGTTGTAGCAAAAATAAAGTTTGTTCAGTTAAAAACTGGCAAAAATTAACATACTTCATTGTAGTGAAAAATACATAAATGAATGTTGGTAAAACAAGTGATACATATACTTGCTTTGATCTACAGACCAAATTATGAAAAACTGAACCTCATTAGATTGTACCTTCAGTTTCCACTATTCCTTATAGCTTCTTTAGTGACCAATAAACTTATGTGTTGGAACACATCACACATCTTGATCAAGTAGCTGCTAGCAATTTTATATTACTACTGCTCTAAATTCAGTCATCCTCTCCTTCATGTACATCACAACCTTGTTAAATCCTAGCAAACTAATCAATTTGAATGCACAGTTTCTTGCTGCTGCTGAACCCAGTACTGTTGCAATCTGAGAAGCCACAAACTCCAGTACTTCTTGCAATCTGTTATTGACATATTGAAAGTGTGAGCTGGAGAGCCATCACTATATGCCACCACAACAAGTCCACCCTGAACCTAAAACAGACAGTGTACACTACTGTTAGAATGTCAGGTAAAGCTTGGGACAGGTTGATATTTGGCAGTAAATTATCTCACTCATAACAGTTTTCAGTTTTCTCTGATGTTATTTTCACTTGTCATATATAAATGACAGGGGAGACAGTCATACTGTGTCATTCAGCTAGCTTGTGAGTTATTTATCAATACAGTCTCTCTCTGCATTTCTATGCTGGATTTCCAAGAATCTAGTGGGTTGTAAATGCCACTCCACATACAGCTGCAGCTCATTTATATGCCCACATAAAGGGTTAAAACCATAAAAACTTCATCATTTTGAAACAATCCATGTGCTAAATTATGGATTAGCTGTGCATATAAATTCACTGGCCATAAAGTAGTGGTTTTGATAAGAGTCAAGAATTCAGAACGCTTCAGAAAGTCAACAGGCTGGAAATACTGGTAACATTTTCTCCCATACAGTACTAATCCAAGTATTCAGTACCATTCAGTGCTTTAAATACAAAACACCATTAGTATTCCCTGCACACCTAGAGTAAGGTACAAGTTTGTACAAGTCACTTCCACTTCACTGCGTAATGTCTGTTTTAATAAACAGTTAATCTGACAGTATGCTTAGGGATTCTCATTGCAATACAGAGTTATCAAGCCACCACTTCAAGTGCCATTCTGCAACCAGACATCACACAATGTTCGGCATCCCTTTTGAAACATCCTCATATGATATAACTATTGTCAGTCAGGATAAGTTGGATATGCAGGATTGCTCTGGCAGAGGATAAGACTAATACCCAGAGAAAGCATGTGTGCGTGCACATGCACACATACAAAAGTCACTAGGTAAAAGGAAAAATAGAAGGATAAAGCTATCCCTGTAACAGGCTGTGAAGGCCCATAGGGTTGTGAGACATCGAGGCTCCCACATTTTCTAGGCAATCGGCTCACAGATGGTGGTAAGGGTGGCAGCCTTACGCGCCAGCCACCCTTTACCCCGAAGAATATTCCTGGTATTCATTTCTGTTAGAGGCTGAGTCGACCCCAAGGTCATAGTGCGGCTGGAAGGATTAGGTAATTTGAATAAAATCCACCTCATCGGGATCCAAACCCGCAACCTTCCAGCTTGTAGTGTAGTGCCTCAACCAACTACACTACCACAATACTTGAATATTCAATTTACACACACTTGTATAATTCCTTGATACGCCTTGAGATTCATAATTTACTTAATATACAGTGCGTACAATCAAGTGCGCGCCGCGGCTGCAATTTGCCGTGAGTCATACCACCGCAGAACGGATGCAGTCGCGGGAGGAGTTGCAACTCCTCCCCGCGACTGCATCCGTTCTGCGGTGGTATGACTCACGGCAAATTGCAGCCGCGGCGCGCACTTGATTGTACGCACTGTATCTGCCATATATGGCTGTTATAATTTCAGTTTTCACCCTTTATGGTTCTTCTGGGGTTTGTCAGCACTCACAATAGAGTAGTACTTTAGTTGGTCAGACTGGAATACCAATCCCTCCTATTCAACAATGCTTACACAACAATATAATGGTTATCTTCCAAAAGGTGCTTAGGTCCCATCAGGTGTAATATGAAAGGGTATATTATAATACATTTCTTCAATGTCTGTTCACATTCTAATCAGTGAATAAAATACATGTTTCTATGCATGTTACCTGAAAGTTGTAATTAACATCATAGTTCATAGCTCCAAAATAGGCACTTAGTTGGAGTGGAGCATCATATGTTTTTTCAATCTCAGGTTTCTGTCTGTCAGATTTCTTCCATTCAATTATCACAGGCTTTCCTCTGCAAAAATAAAGTTTATTTTTCAGAGTACATACACTAAGAACAGTATCTATAGTATCTTGTGGCCTGCATGGAGCAACACGGAACCCTAACAGCATTATTTATTTCAAAACAGCAACAGAGAAGAAAATCATGCTGAATATGTTCATACAATAGCAGATGGTGTTCAGTGAGAGAAATACAGCAAGGAACAGAAAATTTTCCTTCATTAGTTAAGTGTGTCTGTAACTTTGTATGGACTCCATTACATGTAAAGGCATTCATATTCAGGAAGTACCACGTTTCAATGGCTGTTGTTAAAACAGCTATCCTACATTTTGTTGTTTTTTTCAGTCCTATGAGGTTAATGCCAGAACAGTGCTTTAAAATAGATGATACACACTTCTACAACTGACTCCCCAGTACACTGCATCTTAGTGGTCAGCACTCTTTGTCTTTGAGAGCTCCTGAATCTAGATACCAGCCTTCTCTAAGGTTTTCCATTCTAGTCCCTCCAGACAAATGCCCAAGTTGCCACATTAAAGCAGAACACAAGCTCTTGCCCAACATAAATTCCATTTCATCATTCATAAATCATCCTACAAACTGTATCCACTTATACAAGGGCTCCATAAATATGCTAGCTTACTTGCCACAGGTAATTATGTTAACAAAAACTAGTGGTAGGTACATTTTTATTCTTGGTCCAAAGGTAATAAACAAATGCTTTTGAAATATTAAATTCTCATTATGAACCTTATAAATGAACAAACAAACAACTTATTGTATCATTTTGAATATAACACACCCTCGAATTTAAGACACATTCAGTTTTTGAATGTGGGTTTTACGTAAAAATTTAGAAAGGTGCACATTCCTTGAATTTATTCAACATGATAGAAAGGGGGGACTAATCTGGTATACAGAGGGTTCCAAGACAAATAAAGGCACTGAAGCTGGGGTGTATTGTGATGGAACAAGTCTGAAGCATACCTTCAACCTTGGTCAGTACACAACAGTATTCCAGGCAGAGGGGTATGCCATTAAGGCATGCACAGTTGAGAATTTAGATAGGACCTATAGAAATAGGAACATCTATATCCTATCAGACAGTCAAGCTGCAATTAAAGCACTTGGTACACACCAAATCACTTCAAAATTGGTTTGGGACTGCCATCAACCCCTCATACAACTGGCCAGACATACAGACATAACAAGAGTACAACTGATATGGGTGCCAGGTCATGAGGGTATTGTAGGGAATGAAACTGCAGATCAACTTGCAAGAACAGGATCTGAACAACAGTTCATAGGACCTGAACCAGCTTGCGGCATCTCAATTGGAGTTGCCAAGAAAGCGATCAGGGACTGGACTAACAGAAATCACAAAAAACACTGGGATTCCATAACTGGACTCAAACAGGCAACAGGATTTATATCAGGACCCTCTGCCAAAAGAACAAGGGACGTGTTAAAATTAAACAGAAATCAACTCAGCTGGGTGGAAGGATTACTTACTGGACACTGCCAACTAAAAGGACACCTTTCCAAACTGGGACCGACAAGAGGACCCAACTTCTGAGAGGTGCCTAAAAGAAGATGAATCAGCCACACACACCTTATTTGATTGTGAGGCTATAGCTAACTTAAGATTTTGCCACCTGGGTCAGTTCTTCATGGAACCAAGTGACTTTGATGATGCCCCCGTAAACAAAGTCCTACATTTCATTTGAAGTGTAGGATTAATAAAGGGTTAATCCAAAGGGGAAGCACAATAGATCATTGAAGGTCGCAGTGCTAGGGCCAGTTTTATGTCTTACCCCTCATGCTCATGCATTGAATTTATGACGCCCCTCAATTTTTCAATGGGAAAAAATGTGTGTCTCATATTCAAAGTAGTACAGTATATTATTATCACACCTCTTTTGCAGACAATATACAGAATGTCCCAGAAGTAAGTATAAAAAATTGAAGAGTACTATGACCCAAAACAATGACAACAGTTATGCAAAAATAGGTCTGGATATGCCACCCCTTATACATTCAGTCAACAAACTAGAGGCATTCAAAGGTGTTGCAGCAGAAGTAAAATTGGAAATGTGGTTACAAAAGTAATGTATGCTTGGGACGCTACTAAAAAGAACTGGAGTTTAGAGTGAACACTGTGGATGACGACTTGTCTTTTATCACTGACACCTTCCACATTCAACAACAAGATACAGTCATCATGGTGCTCCCACAACAGTAGGGTAGTAGAACTTCAGTTGCAAAAGTAATTTTGATGTCGGAGAACAGTACACTTTGAGTTAAATATATGTCAGCCAAGTGTTGCAAATACCAAAAAAGTTCTATTCAAGAAATAAAACCACATCTGACTAAAAACGTAGAGTTACATTACAGTGATTGGGGGTAACAACTGTTGTTGGGGTTATACCAGGTGCTCAAAATGTTGGCCTTGCACTGTCACAAGTTTTGGCCCAACAATGCTTCGGCTAGGGCACTGAAAAATGCAAGGAGCATTGGGGACTGATGTACAACCATTTTGAATGCTCTGCAGTATTCACCACTGAAGCTTGTGTCAACTTCTTAGAGGTCCACAAAGGGAAAAAATCAAGGAGATTTTGGTTTGTTGAATGGCTTGGCCAGGACACTGGTCCATGTCTTTCTAATGTCTAATAACTCTGGCAAAGTGTGCTCCAAAAAATGTCGGTAAGCAATGCCATTGAGTCTATGAGGCAAAATATAAAGGCCTACAAAACAGGCCCCAAAAAACCAGCCCAAACTTTAACTGAGAATTGCTGTTGACATATGGACTGAATTGCACTATGTGGGTTCATGTCACTCCAAATGAACTTTTATGGGAATTCAGTATGCCGTTCCTTGTGAAGACTGCTTCATCAGTGAAGCATACAAGGCTGCTGAAAAAGGGATCTTCACTATACTGTCAAAGCAACCACTGGCAAAATTCTTCACGAGGTGAAAACACTGTGGACTTAAAGAGTTTGTGCTCTTTGCAATGGCATGGGTACAGCAATTTTTCATGGAGAACCCAAAACACTGTCATGCATGCCACATATTTGGCAGCTTTTCTTTGTGAACACTGCTACAGAGGTTATCCTTATGGGTCTCGGTACGCCCTGTTCTACATAAACTATTTACGAAATTCTTTGTCTTCCAAGGTATACTGTAGAAGGGTAAACAGTACCAGACCCCAGCAGTTTTCTGTTTTAAGCACACTCTTACAAAGCAACTATGACACCAAAAGAAGAGCACCTGACTGTATGTACAGTCCAGCGGGATTAAATGCCTGATGTTTGTTGTTAAATGGGGGATATAGTGGTGATAAAAGACAAATAATCATTCACACTGTCCACTATAACTCCACTTTCCAACAAAAGTGTCCACAATACATGCTACTTTTGTAACCACAGTTACAATCCCAATGTTGCTGCATCAACTCCAAATGAATCTAGTTCATTACCAAAGCATTTCCAGACCCATATGTATATAAACTATTGCTACTGTTTTGAGCCATAGTGCTCACCCTTCAATTTCCTGTACTTTCTTCTGGGACATCTGTATAGTGTGATGAAAAAAGTAAGTCACTTACTTTTACAGCACTGAAATATATTGGTACCAGATCCAGTAAATTATTATACAAATATCATTTCGACGGGTAATGCTGGATGGACAGAGTCAATTACATGCAGCTTAATTCGCTTAGTGGGGGGTGGAGTCCAACTGGGTCCACTTGGCACAGAAGCCACTGATTGGCCCATTGTACCTGCCCCAGGTGATTATGATGATGGAGAATTTGGTGGAATGAAGTTTGGCAGGGGAAACCGAAGTAATCGGAGAGAACCTGCCCCAGTGCCACTTTGTCCACCACATATCCCACTTGACCAGACCCGGAATCGAACCCGGGCCGCCAGCAACTAACCACTTGAGCTATTGCGCAGCCTACGTACAACATAACTATAACTATTCTCACCAACAAAAGGAATGAATATCGCAGGACTTACTTATATTGCGCTACACAATCAATGACACCCTTGTACAGGAGACTTGAGTGAACAACATGACTCTCCAGAACTCTGACATCTGTAATGTTTGTGACAACATCCGACAAACTCTGCCAGCACCCTTGAACTTGTTCCAAATTTAGATCAGATTCTGGTGCACCTGACAGATAGTTTTGAATGGCAGCATGAAACAGACTTCCCCTATCCAGCAGACCTGTTCAACACAACAAATAATTTCTTTAGCTTTCCTGCGCCACCACCGCCACCAAGAGGAGATTGAACTTGGGTAATGCTTGCTATCATTCAGTCCAGAACCTTTTCTCTTCTCATCTACTGTCTAAAAACATAAAAATCAGAATATACAAAACTATAATTTTGCCTGTGGTTCTGTTTCGGTGTGAAACTTGGTCTCTTGACATTAAGAGAGGAACATGGACTGAGGGTGTTTGAGAACAGGGTGCTGAGAATATTTGGACTGAAGAGGGATGAAGTGACAGGTGGACACAGAAAACTGGATAGTGAGACTCTTCATAACTTGTACTCTTGGCAAAGTATAATTAGAATGATCAAGTCAAGGAGGATGAGATGGGCAGGGCACGTAGCATGAATGGGGAGAAGAGGAATGTATATAGGACATTGGTCGGAAAGCCAGAAGGAAGAGACCACTAGGAAGACAAAGACATAGGTGGGCAGACAATATTAGATTGGATCTTAGAGAGAGAGGATGGGATGGTATGGATTAGACTGATCTGGCTCGGGATAGAGACCAGTCGAGGGATCTTGTAAACATGGCAGTGAACCTTTGGGTTCCATAAAATGCTAGGAAGTTCTTGAGTAGCTGCACAATTGGCAGCTTCTCAAGAAAGGCTTAGCTCCATAAGTGAGTGAGTGAGCCTGCTTTGTGTTGCTCAGATTTGTATCCTTTCACTTCTTTAATATAAAAGCAGTTTGTGAGCATTTAAGCCAAATGCAGTCCTATATAATAGGAACTGATCATTTTACAGAGTCAGCATTTCAAAACAAACCATATACCTTGAAGTTTCTGGACATAAGTAGTCTTGTTCTACAACCCAACCATACCTCTGTAATGGTTTAGAAATCCTTCTTCACCAAGCTCTGAAATCATCTTCTGACGCCACCTTTTCAGCGCAACACGAGAACTGTCAGACATTGTAGCATTTAAAATCTTGCTTACTGATGGATATAGAAGACAGTCCTTCCTGTTACTAACATGTTTAGTATGTGGTAATATATTCCAGGCACATTCAGATGGCATCGTTGATTCTTTGCTTTTACTTTCATTCAGAAGAGGAAATGTTGGTATGTTTCTAACAATGATATCAGGAAGGTGTAACATAGGTGTTTTATCAGTTTTTCCCAAAACATCTGTGACATGACTGGCATGTGCGTCTTCAATACTGTTCGTGGAAACTTCACATACACTCTTTTCAGGACTTAATGATGTACTACACTGACTTGCCTCACCTGGTAACTTTACAAAAGAATCACCACTATGTTGCTCTTGTACAGATTCTAATGTTTCTTCCCAGTGTGTATCAGATTTATCACTTTTAGCTTCAGAGTATGTGTTTGAATTTTTTTTCAACCGCACTATATTGCTTGCTGCTAGCGTTTGTTTGTACCACCATGCTTCTGATGACGTTTTATTTTGAACTGAGCATGAGTGCTGCTCTGCAGATGAGGGAAATGCAGGCCCATTTTTCGCTTCTCTTTTACGTTTCTGTGGTCTTGTTTCTAACAGTTCACCAAACAATGATTTGTTCTCTTTATTTAGTTTCTTGATCACTTCACCAACATTTCCCTTTTTTAGTTGCGAATTGGATTTTCTGAATGAAACAGTATACCTTATACACAAAGCACTGAATAAGGTTGAGCCAAACATTTTAAATATACAATCTCAACGCTATCAATCTACACAGGCCCACCAAATAATGAACTAATGGAACATACATTTACGTGGTAGTGAGACACATTAGTTAATTGTTTTGTACACGTCCTCTCGAAATAGATAACGCATATCACTACAACAGTTCACACCACTTTCATCAGATGTGTTGTTCCTTTAAAATGAGTGTCTGTCGTCCTAATAAGCTCGTTAACAAATCTTGAATTTCGAAAACACGTGATTTTTAACCTAACTTCCTCTTTCCAGTTATTTGTTAAGAAATATGATAATACACTAACAAAGTCCTTCCTCCATAATTCAGTTCAGCATTGTACACATCTATTAATACCATTAATACAATCCAAATCTTTTGTTACCCATGTATGCCACACTTTCGCTCTCTGTTCTTGAACATTATGACCTACGCTAACTTTGTATCCATGATATCCATGACCGTCCATGACCTTCGGGGTGTTCGGGGTTAACTTGCCCGTCACAGGATCACAGACATCACAGATCATCCACTACCCTTCCCTTTAGCTAAAAAGACTTCCCGATCCGTGGATAGCCGATCCCTACCGAACCCTACGGCTTAAATTGCTTTTGTAGATTGCGAGAGAGGATAATCAGATGCATAAAAGGTAAAGTTGTCCCTGTGCTTAATTAATTAAGCACTACGCCATGAAGACGTATGGGTGGAGTGGATGTATAGATACACATTTTCTTAACCTCGGCACTAGTAGGAGGTGAGGGGTCAGCTTCACTCCCCGGCCGCTTTACCCCCTGGAAATAGCCCCTGGTACCTATTGTATATGAGGTTGGGTGGACCCCAGAACCGGTCTGGATGACATGGAGAAGTGAAAATTCTTCACCCTACCGGGACTCGAACCCCAACATCCGCGGTCGCTATACCGACTACGCCTGACTACATTATCCCGGCTCCAAAGAAGTGCCAACAGCAGGTGGTGTTCCCAAGGGATTACCATCCAAGTACTAACCACACCCAATGTTACTTAACTTCGGTGATTGGACAAAAACCGGTGTTTTCAACATGGTATGGCCCTTGGCGAAGGAAATATATATTTTCTTTTAACCTGTTCAAGACTATGAAAAATCAGTGTACCGTTAAAGTTACGATTATTGCGTACCTATAGGGTTTTATGTCACCTAAACACACATATTTCCACATTATTATGTAAATAAATGTTTTGGGATATACAAATAAAATTGAGTAATATTCTGTCATGTTTTAGGGGAGACTCTAGAAAGGGTTTTGGATTGGATCTTGCGTCTATTCACAACGTTAACACACCACTCGTAATTACACTTTACACATTATTGACACACACAGACCAGTGTCCTCAGTCATAGTCTCCACTAGCTGCTTCCTGGCAAAGGTTTTTGACACAGGAACTACATTAGCCTCACTGAATCACACATTCCAATTGTCATACACAGTCTTCTTTTCACAGCTGCACTCTTACAACTAACACTTTTCTCCCCAACCTTCCATACAGAAATCTTATCAGCTGACAACCTTCAACGAACTGGATTGTCAAAGTCACATTGTGACTAACGGTCAGTCAGTCAGTAAGTCTTGGTGTTGAGCCCCATCTGGAGCTCATAACCAGACATTTATTACTGCTTGACAGTTATGGTCTTGTTTTTTGTGTAGCGACCTCTCTAACGAGAGAACAGGTCTGTCTTTTGTACATGCTGCTTGCCCTTAGCGCAGTCTTTCTCAGGTCTGAGTCCCTTGGTACTCACAACCATACTTTACTCTCTCAGTTTTGAGACTTCCCTTTTTGTCGCCTTCAATGACTCACAGGGTCACGATGGAGGTATTCAACCCTGCCGCCACATGGGTGGAACTGGATTTCCCTAATTGTTTTCCTTATAACTACTTTGCATGGACCGAATAGAAAACACCGTTTCAACAATACTATATTGTTATAAGCGTGTCTACCAATCTGTTGCCTACAAACGGGATGCCTAACCCCATTGTTTTATTGTTGCATGTGTATGTTGCTGGCGTTACATAGCAATGGCCGCTGTTTACAGTCACCACTTAGCAAGGGATCTGTATGCCATAATATGTTTCAGACAGTGGATAAATAAATATTTCACATGTCCGCACAACGTGTTACCAGAACGTGTACATAAGCAACACCTGTGGCCTGGTACACTGGTTTTGGCATGGGGTTCCAGCAATTTAAGTGTAAAGAAGAGTACACATCATGCTTACTGATGGATGGGGAACGTACTTTTATGTTTTGTCACACCAATCAGAAAATGAGAACTACTGCATTGATCCGTGATCACTGCTAAATACTGGCCATTATAGATCGTCAGGAAGCTTGTCCACAGTATTATTATAGTTTTCTAATTCACTTGAAATCTAGTGCAGTAAAAATGTAATATGTGAACAAAGTCTAGTTAAAAAAAAAAACTTAAATTTAAATGAAGGGCAGTATAAATATTTATAACACAAGCCAAGCTACAGTAGAAAACCTACTAATAAAGCATAATAATTATAAAACTACTCCTGAGTTGACTACTTTAACTTACATAGCTCTTCAAATAACTTTCATTAATTGTTTGATCAGTGCTGCAAAAATCTTCCTCCCTCTTGAATCCACAGCAGACACTCTGGTTCATAGAATTCACACTTGTGTTTCTGTCAACTGCAACAGTCATGATGTTTCATCATGACACATTAAAAACAACCATCTCCTTTTTTCTCTTTCGTTTGGGAAGTGGAGATTTTGGAGTCATGGAGTATAACCAGGCAGGGTAATTGGTATGCAGATGAAGAATTGGTACATGCTTACTATACATACTTGAATATGCAAAACTATGTAGTAGTCACTGCATTGAAAGTCTGATTGCTTTCTGGGGCATGGACATTTGATCATTCTGACCACAGAAATGGACAAATTAACATCACGGGAGAGGTCTTACCAATGGGAGTGCCTGGAGACAATTGAGAACTATCTTCTGTGCCTGTAGCCTGTGGTCAGGCTTGACTGTACTGAATTTTCTTTCGAGTAAGTGAACATGAAACTGAGCTGCAGTCAGTGTAGGCAGTGGACAGACAGGGTAACAATATAACGATACAAGAAGGAACCAGGTTAGAGAGACCTATGGCAGGGTGGAGTGTTAAATGTAAATATTGCAATTAAAGGGTAGTCTGGATTCAAGAGCCATGTCCTTGTCATTTGGAGTCTTATTCCTGACCTATGCCATTCTATCACAGCTACCATTAATTAGGATGACCAATGGTCAAGTGGCAACAATCACATAATGGTCTCTAGCAACTGGGTCACTCTAGTCAGCAGCTGCCATAGTGGAAGCAACTCCACAAGGAGGAACAAGAAATGGGAACACTGACACTGTGAACTGGTTCAAGATACAAACTTGACAGGCAGTAAGGTAAGGTAAAAGACGAAGTTGTCCTTGTGCTTAACTAATTAAGCACTATATGATGAAGCTGTATAAGGGACTGGCTGCATAGATCCATGTATTCTTAGCCCCTGGGAAAAGTCGGAGGCAAGTAGTCAGCTTCACTCCCTGGCTGCTTTATAAAAAGCATATATTGAATGTGCGTGACTCAGGCACACGCATGAGATCATGTAGCATGAACGGAAATGGAAGTTAGTGATGACAGTGGCAGATTTCTTGAGAATAAAACTAAAAGTATGGAATTTTACTAAAACATATATTATGAACTTTAATGTAATGGCTATAAAAATGAAAATATAGTTATGTAATTGGCCTTTGTGAGGCTCTTTGTTCCATAATTTTGTACTGACATACGACTGAGATATGGCATTTTAAAAAGGGAGCAAAAATTATAAAATTAAACACCACAGTGACAAATTTAAATGTACGGGGGGAATTTAACATACTTGTTCAGAATCAATATTGCAATGTGGTCAACTGTGGCAAAATGCTAAAGCCCACAAGACCACAATTGTATACAGAATACCACAAACGTTTCTGTTGTGAAAACAGAAGCAGACAGGTGACAGGAATGGTGAAACTGAATGAGGGCTAGTGACTTCAAGAAAGAAACGAATTAAACAAATGCCATGTATAATACATTTTCAAATATTTATTTGTAGTAACACTAAGAAATTAACATATAAAATCACCTCTTCTTACCAGACATATTTCTTAGTGTGGTGGTCTTGCATTTGGAGCTAATTCATGTAAATACAGTATGAGTAACCACCCTGCAACTAATTATAGTATTTCTTTATAAAATTCGGTTAAAATATGACGATTGTGATAGAATGAAAACACACAAGAAATAATGTATATAAACACAATTTGGCTATTTCCAGAACATAATTTTGAACTACATACCATGGAATGTAGTAAAATATTTTCTTGTCAAATGTGTTAAATATAATAGGGTTCTAAGTAACTAATTATGTGGAGCTGGGCCCTTCTTCAGAAGCCACTAGTTGGGCAAGTACTCAAGAATTTCCCATCATTTTATGGAACCTGAAGGTTCATTACCATGTTCACAAGAGTCCTCTACTTTTCCCAATCCTCAGCCAGATCAATCCAGTCCATGCCATCCCATCCTACATCTGTAAGATCCATTTTAATATAATCCACCCACCTACGTCTTGGTCTTCCTAGTGGTCTCTAGCCTTCTGGCTTTCCCATAAATATCCTACATGCTTCCTCTTCTCCCCCATTCATGCCCATCTCATCCTCCCTGATTTGATCATTCTAATTGTACTAGGGTACCCTCAAACAGTATAGTAGTATGAAGCAAATAATACAAGCAAGCAGTAATGTTTATGCTGTTTGCAACACTAAACTCTTCTTCAGTGCTCCAGAGAAACACTTAATTTGTAGAGAACTTCAGGAATTTCTGCAGCTCTTTCATCACACTCCCTCTATCATGGTTCCCCTTAATTTTCACAGTGTCCATCACTTTTGACTGATATATAAGTTTCTTTGCAACAATATAGCTAGTTTCATCATATGAAGAAGCAGAATAAATGCCACCTGAAAGAAAGAAAAACAGTTTTATGCTTATACACATAATGATACTATAAGAGCAACCTTAAGAACCAAGGCTAGAGACAAGTGAAGGGAAGGATTCTGGCTATTTTTTCTCTTAAAATGTCTTTAGAGAATTGGAGTGCAGAATTATGAACCAAACTTTTTCCTAAGCATAGAAAAAATAATGTAGTAGCTGATGATTGATAAATATAAGACTACCACCTCACAGACTTGAAGAAAACAGATCTTTCAAATGACGTATCATATGGTTATTGTAGAACACAACATCAGAAGTGAGGACACCAGGACCCAAAACTAGGGACAGGAAGTAAGAATCTACACCGTTGGAAGCAAAAATTTATGTGGCAATCACTGGTGTTTTGGAAGTCAAAACTGTGGGCTGTCCAAAAGCATCATTCAATACAATTTCTCCTGCCATCTGCATAGCTAACAGAACGTTTCTTTAGCTGGTCAGCAAACCTCTAGGTGAATTGCCAGCAACAGAAAGTGAAGCTAACAGCCATGTGATTCACCCATAAATCTATAGGTACAGGTTATATTATGGAATTTAAAAATTAAAATAGGTATTTGAACATAGAACCAGCATGTTTTCTTATAAACTACAGGGGAACTAATCTATGAAAGGAAATGATAATGTAGAAAACTTCAATACTATTTATATGATTAAAAAATCATAATTTTCAAAGTAATTGAATTTCATGAAAACCACACACGTTGCATTCCCTTTCTGTTAGGTCTAACTGCCCCACAACAACTGATTTTCTGTTCTGCTAGATAATTGAGTAAGCTGGGTGATGAAACAAAGTTGTCCATATATAGTTTACATGGTGTCCAGGATCAGTTAGGACTCACTTTTTTAAATCTTGCCCTGCAATGCCAATTGTTGGCAAGTTGTGGTGTTGAGATTCTTGAAGTTTCAGCTGTGGCCGTCTATAATTTCAAAGTGTAAGCATTGCTGCATCATGTGTTCTGACCTTGAATGTAACAGTACTGTTCTGATGCTTGTCTGAATATGGCGGTTGAACAGAGAGCCAACATCAAATTTTGTTTGAAGTTAGGCAAAACAGCCGGAGAAGCATACAAAATGATGAAAAGTGTGTCCGATAGTGATTGTTTGAGTCGCTCGAACATTTTTCTATGGTATGCTGTATTTCGTGACGGCACGGAGGACACTGAAGACGCTCCAAGTGCATCAAAGCTGAGAACAAGTCGCACTGAAGAAAATGTGAAAAAAGTGACCGAAATCCTTGCATCAGACATATGTGTTTCTGCAAGACTCATCGAGGAGCTTTTGGGAATACCAAAAAGTACTGTGCATCGAATTTTGACCAAGGATTAGGGCAAATGGAAGGTCTGTGCGCGGTTTGTACCGCAAGCACTGTCAGGTGATGAAAAACATGCCAGAGTGGATCACTGCAAAGGCATGTTATGGTCGGCCCAAAGTGATACTAAATTTACAAAATCGATTGTTACTGGTGATGAGACATGGTCTTTTCAATATGAGCCTCTCACAAAGCGGCAGAGTGCAGTGTGGTTGAGCCCAAAGAAAGTGTGCATGCAAAAGAGTCGAGTAAAGACACTGCTAACCATTTTCTTTGATTCCAAAGGAATCATTCACAAGGAATTTCTGCCAGAAGGTCAAACAGTAACTTCTGATTATTATCTCGGAGTCCTCAATCGTTTGTGGGCGAGAATTCTTTGAATTCGACCTGAATATCGAGAGCAAGGTTCCTGGTTGCTCCTCCACGACAATGCCCCACCCCACAAATTGATGATCGTGCACAATTTTTTGGCCAGAAAAGGGATCACAGTCCTTGATCATCCTCCGTATTCGCCAGATTTGGCTCCAACAGATTTCTGGTTGTTCCCAAAAGTTAGGTTGGCGATGAAAGGAGACCGTCACGACACCATCCAGGGCATCCAAAGGGAATGTACTGCAGTTTTAAATGCGATTCCACAAAAGGAGTACAGTCACTGTTTTTGAAAACTTTTCGATTGATTCCAGCTATGTATTGATTCAGAAAGACACTATTTTGAATAAAAAGTGAAATTTTGAAAATAATTCACGTCTTGTATTTTTAATGAACAGAGTCGTAACAGAACCTAGACACACTGTGTATACGAGTATACAGAGTGGTCACTTCAGAACTTTGAATATAGGAAAATGGATTAATTCTTAACGATCCAATTTCTATCTGGGGTTATATCTTAAAAAATGCAGTAAATATAACTTATTTTCTGAAACACTGAATCTCGGGCTCTTAAGGATTTTTAAAAGCCTAGGCCAGCAGCTACAAAGTTCATGGTTTAAATGCCACCTCTTAAAGGTTTTAACCACTTTGGACTTGTGACATAACATGTAATACAGAGTGCTTCCTGAAGAGCCAACTGAATTTGGCTGCTCCTACTATGAGAAGAACACATACCCAGTATTGAAATATGCTTTAAGTGATACATGGACAGAAGAAAGAGACCTTTAGCTAGAGTTACTTTGCAGTGTCTCACATTACTCTTTATCTTGTATCACACTGACTACAGCTGCAAATGACTAGCCATAAATATTAGTTCCCTTTCCAATGCTGCTCTGGTAAGACAGTCAGAAATCTGTTTCATATTCTGACAGTGCTGAATTCTGATGGTGAAAATTACACTTAAAACAGCAGGCTTTTCTGCATGATATATACATGATGAGTAAATCATGTAAAAAGCTTCTCAAATCCCTGACATGATTAGTTCTACCAGCACATGTTTCAATACAACAGCATGGATTTCGACTAAAAAGTTAGATCTATTGCCACATAAAAATATACAGGTTTAAGGAACTGAAGAAAGTGACTACAAGACAGTAACAAATTTTTTAAGTGATTTTTATGTGTCTCATTGCCCCCCCTCAAATTTACATTTCTTACTGAACAAACTTGGTTTCATCTGAGTGTGTGTATATCGATTCTCAGAACAATAGGTACTGGAGCAGCATTAATCTGAGAGACACTTCTGACATAATCCTTCACAATCAGCAGATTGGCGTGTACTCTGCCATTACTGCTATATGAGTAGTAGGACCCATACTTTTCAGACTATTAATTCAAACTGGTATGTCAATGACATTCTTGAGAGCATTAGAGAAGAAGAGACATATGGTTATTATATGAAAGATGGTACTACAGCACACAGCCAATTACTCCACTACTCTTTTAAATGAGAAGTTTGAAGACAGACTGATAAGTTAAAGATTGTGGTCTGAAAGGTCTCTAAACTTAAATCACTGTGATATTTATCTGTGGAGAAACTTGCAAAGCACAGTGTTTTCAAACAATCCCCCATATATTGGATGAATTAAAGCATACTGATGGATGTAAATTTGATTTGTTTCATTCTGGTCCATCGTGGCTTGCTGTGTGAAAACAACACAGCAAGCCATGAGCAAACCCTGGACGATATCAAGAACCTCCCCATCAAGATAGACAGGCAGCACAATATCTACCCCATACGAGAAGGACGATAGGAGGACGGACACGAACCTACATGGTTTATAAATTTTAATTGCTGACAATACAGGTTTTTTAAATAACGTCTTGAAACTTTTAAAAAACTTTACAATACCAGGAAGCTGCTGTGATTGTGAAATGTTCTACTTTATGCGTACTGTACATTGTAGCATATAAGTGTATGTATTTTAAATCAAAACAACCACTGTGATGGTAGTTTCCAGTTTGTAATGATGTTTCCCTCTGAAGATGGTCCGTAAGGACCAAAACATGTAAGGGAGATAAGTTTTCAGGATGTAAATGTTTCACAAAGGGTAGCGAGTTCAAACTAGGTCAAACAATCTTCAAGAATCTTGAAGTTTGTTCAATAGCAGAAGGGAGGATATTCTGAGCATATACTGTGCTGGTGAGTTCTTCTAAACAATGTAATTACTTTAAGAAATGCATTCCCATATTTATAATGCGTGGCAGATTAACTGAGAATCTAGACTCCTTTTACTTGACAGGCAGTGAAAGTTCCAGCTAAAAGACCTATAGCAAGAGAGTCTGGTGATTTGGTCCTTCAAGATAGACTCTGTATATATCATGGCAGCTGTATGTAATGAAGTATTCTCCAGTGACAGCCATTTAAAGACGAGTTTCAATCCAATATTTTGGAGACTTACCTCTGTCTTCATCCTTGGGAGTTGACTTGATGAGTGACATGGCTGCAAGACGTATTTATACTCAAAGTATGCTCTTGAAGCTCAGTATCCTATATTATTGAAGTATGTTGGTGGCTAGATACCGTGAATGAATCACAGAGAACCCCATTTAGTTTTCTTTTTTTATAAGTTTTAGGGTTGTAGCTGGATCTTGATGGCCAGCTTCACAAAGTGGCCCATGTAGCTTGTTCTTCTATCTGAGTCCATGCTTCCTTGAAAAGACATTATGCTATTGGCTAGAATGACAGATTACATGGGTTGCTCAATGAAGGAAGCCATCAAGACCGTACTTGGCTATCAACATGCTTCAATGAGGTAGGGTCATCAAATAATATCAGAAAGGACCGAAGACAGTAAGCATAATAAGTGCCAAAATTAAATAACATGGAGTGTGATATCTCCACCCACTCTTCCTCAAATGATCTACACATGCACAGGACACCAAGTTCCAAGAATCTACATTAAGTATAAATACATAAGCCATATCATGTATCACATCCACCCCTGACTGAAGAAGAGAGTGAGTCTCTACAGCATCAGATACTTACTGCATGTAACATATGCTGATTTTGGGATGCAAGTTAGTATCAAATTTTTATTGTAATTGTACTCAGTTTAGAACTTAAGATAATACTGACTCTCCCTGTGGCATCTTGTTCTGTCATTATTAATAATTAACTGTAGTTTTCAATCAACTTACATGATTCTTTTCTTTTCAGCAAAGATAATACTGTTCTTACATCATCTTTGAACTCCACACATTTGTATTTAATCAGCTTTCTTAGTTCATTTCTTTCTTCTCTATTAGCAACTTTAATTATTTCCAGGAGACTCTTTCCCAGTATGTCTATTATCTTTGTTTCTTCATTGTAGATGTTGTTTGTTCCAAGATCAAAGGGGCTAGTAATGCTGACATTTTCATGAGAGCCATGAGAAAGTTTTACTTTAATACTCTCAAGGTCATGTGTGTAATGCATCTTCTTCCACAGAAATTCCATTGCTTGTGGAACAGTTAACATGGTGAGAAGTACATCTGGTTTCATAAGATTTCTGAGGCTAGCATATGGATTCACTGTCATGGACATGGTCGTTCTATTTACCTCAGCGGTATATGCATGAACAAATTTTGCTGCTTCTTTTCGTACATCATTATCCTCATCTTGAAGCAAAGTAAGTTGAACATCTAAAAGGATTTCAAGAGTACTTTTTAGCACTTCTTCAGCAGAGAATTCTTTGGACTTTTCTGCTAACATTGCCTTAAGTGATGGTGCTAAAAGATGCATAGCTGTTGCAGCACTAAGCCTAAAATCTTCTTCGTACTTCATTACATCAGTTCTGTCTTTGATACAGAGTGAAAGTTCTAATACAAAATCTAAAATTTGAGTTGATAATTCAATGCACTGTCCATGGGCAAAGTACTGTGAAAGAAGTCCAGTTACCACTGGAAGTGCTGCCTTACTATATTCTGATTTATTTTTTCTGTCACCAATAAACCACACAGAGATCTTCTTCAGCTCTCTGAATGTAATAACAACATTCACCTTTAGTCCTTCCATTAACACAAGCATCACATCGAACAGTGGAAACAAAGTAGGGCATTCCTCAGTAATTTCTAAACAAACCCTCAAAAGTGCAATGAATAATGAAGCCTTTATAGCACTGTCAATTTTGTTATCGTGAAGAAGCCTCAATTTTAGACTTGTAAAAGCTGACGTCACAACATCTGGGTAATCACTACACAATGTATATGAATTGTACCATGTGGAAACAAGATCCTGTGGATAACATTTCCTCACAACCACATCTACTACTTTGGCAGCCCAGAGAAGCAATCCAGGTTTAAATGAATTATTAAGGTTCTCATTCACCAGTGTCTTGTGCACATGTAGTATTCTTTTAAATGTTTCATCACTTGAAATATATGCTGTATCTACAACATTAAATTTATCTTCTATTAACTCAAGACATAAGACTCTGTTGAGATATGTACAGGAATCCCAGATCATACAATTAGCGACACTTTCTTTCAACACTGTGATGATTTCTGGTATCTTGGATTTCAATTCTGACATATTTTCACTGTCGTGTTTCAACTTCTCCAGAAGATATTTCAGTGTTAACAAAATTCCATTGAGATAGTTTTCTTTGAAACCCAAACAACTGGAATGTATACCATCACAATTTCTGTTATGCATGCATAATTCATCTACAACAGTGACAATGGACTTGTAAGTACTGGAAAAAGGCATAAACCTTTCATATGCCTTTGCTGCTAACTTCCGAACATGATAGATAGGACTAGATATCAGCTTCAGAAACAAAGCACGATACTGAGCAATTGTTTCAGCCAAAGACTCACTGATGAATATCTCACTGCCTACAGAAACTTTTGCTAGTAGAGACAGCATGGGAATTAGGTCTGCATGCTTTTGCAAAGCCTGAGATGGATGGCATTTTGCAGCTTTCTTCATGGCGGTTAACATAAATTCAGTCAATTCTGGAAAATGGCTGAAGAACTCTTCAACACTGACACTACTTCCTAGGGTAAGTTCCTCATCTTGAACTTTTTTCTGCCCTACAAGTTTTGGAATGAGTGCACCAGACAACTGCAAAGCTGCATTTCTGTAAACAGAAGAAACAACATAAATTACAGCAGTAGCAATATTATTAAAAATATTCCTTCTTTTTACTGACTGGACTTAGAATGCCACCAATTCTCACTTTTCAGTATTCTCTCAAATGGAACACTGAAAATTAGTTATCTCCAATTTCAGGAGTAAATACTTGTGGAAAAGACTGTTGAAATTCAATGAAGAATTATTTCTTTCATACAGTCATCTGTCATTCATTCAATTTGTTCCTTTCCTTCATCTATTTTAGGCCTTTATCTTGAGACAGTAACATATGGTCACAAGGCCCACAGGACTGACTGCGCTGGTTAGGCCCAGCAGCAATTTACACTATCTGAATGACCTGAAAGATGACAAGGATTGGTCCTTCAGCTTGGTGACTAGGCAGGAGGTCATACAATTCTTCACCACAAGGCCTAGCATGTTATGAAATATTACACAAGGTATCAGATTTGGATACATTCTTTAGAACAACCTGACAGAAAACAGACGCAAGAAATTGGAATGTAAGATTAAGTGAAAACATTGAAAATGCATACAACATTTCAGTTGCAAAACCTGAAGGGAAGAGACCACCTGGAAGAAATACAGGAAGTGGAAAAAATAATGGAAACACTACAAAATCGATGAATTGAATATGTTTGTGTTGGCTACACTGAAAGAACTTACAATGAATATCCTTCTGTTTGTTTACAACTTATAGTGCTCATGTAAGTGCATTAGTGATTGTGTTGACAGTCCACGTGAAAGAACTGGAAAATTGGAGACTTTGTCTGATTTTGAAAGAGGACAGATCATTGGTGCACATTTAGATGGAGCATATGTGACAAAAACTGTCACATTATTATGTGTATCAGGAGCAACAGTTTCTAAGGTTATGTCAGCATACACAAATCATGGGAACACATCAGTCAAGAGGAACAGTGGGCAAAAATCAACACTGACAGAAAAAGATCATCGTACATTGAGAAGGATTGTTTAAAAAAATCATAGTACTGGAGAACAGGTGACAGCAAAAGTGAATACTCATCTTGGAAGACCCTGTTTCTACAAAATCTGTCTGATGTGAGCTTCACAAATCCAACAACCACACTAAGGCTGCGACTGTTAAATAAACCTCTGATTACTTCAAGCAATGTTCGGGTACGTAAACGATGTGGTCAAGCCCATAAAACCTGGACATCAGACAACCGGAAATGTGGACAATATGGTCAGATGAGTCATCCTTCATGCTGTTCACTACATCAGGAAGAGTTTGCATTTATGTTTTGAGAACACCCAAGGAAGCCTACAATCCAGAATGCCTGGTTCCAACAGTAAAACATGGGGAGATTTTATGATGGTTTCGGCAACAATATCGTGGTACAGTATTCTGTTGGTTCCATTATTACCCTTCATGGCTGAATTACTGCAAGGGAGTACATGAACAGGTTGGGTAATCAGGTGCATACCATGATCCAGAGGTTATTTCTGAACAACCTACACCTCCATCCATAATCCAACCTATTTATTTTCTCCTTCTCATTTTCACTTTCACAATATGTTTTGGCCATATATGGCCACCATGTGTTCTTTTGCCAAAAACTGTTTCACTGTGCGGTATATCCTGCTTCCTCTATCGCATATGAATGCAATGTGTCCTAATTTAAAATAACGGACTCTATTAAAATCAATAAAATACCAATAAAGTCAGTTAAAATTTTCAAATATTTTGCTTGGGACCTGTTGTCTCTTTAGACAACCATCATTGCGTAGATTTTCTTTGTCTGGATTACTTGCGCAGTGGCATGGGTGTTTGTGTGTATGTAGCTCTCAGAATATTGATGTAGTTATCATACAACAACACAGGCAGGGTGATGGCCTACAGGCAGGGGGGCATACATGATAACTGCAGGGATAACTTTACATTTATTTTTCTTCCTTGCACACCTTGGAAGATTTCACAGACTGGTGGCCTAGAATGCTGTCATAAATTTTTATGGACAAATTTCTTACAGGTCTTGTCAAATGTTTGAGAAGGAATTCAAGAAATTGTATTATGAATGCAAACTATGTTGAGAATAAAAACAATTCAAACCATTTCTGGGACGCCAAAATTAAATGACAGTGTTGAGGTATGGACCGTAAAATCCTCTGACTACTTGTTTCTTACATGGCTGACTCTTCATTGCCAAAAATTGAGCAAATTTTTTCTTCTGAACATCAGCTGGCTTTCACTAAGTCACATGGCATGTATACCCCAGCAGACAGAACTCTCTGAACAACAGTTCACAATGCAGATATATTCTTGTACAGTGTTTCAAAGTGACAAATGCTTTACCCTGTTCTAATATAAGTTAATTCAGCATATTTAAAGAAATTATCTTTTCAAAATTATTCATAGCTGATTCATTTTCCTACCATACTATCTACATGAAATTAAGATGCATGTTCCCATCTAAATATATCTTATTCATTGCTTATGTTTTGACTACATATTGCTAAAACCACAACACATGTTTCAGGCTTACTTGGCCATCATGAAGGGGTGTATTTCATTCTTTAGTTTTATATATGTGATGTTCAACGTTTCTTTTTAATGAGGTAAACCCTTCTGATGATGATCTCGTAAGACTGAAACCTGGGGCTTCAGTAACATGTAGTTTACATAAGCAATAAATAAGATGCATTTAGATGGTAAATTGCATTTAGTTTTGTGTAGTTGATATTTCTAGGTCAATCCAATTTGGTACCAACTCTTATTCTGAAATTGCTCATATTACCTGACTGTCCATACTGGAGATGAGAAATTGCTGAAGCATATTATTGTTACTGAGCTCATATACTGAGTTATGTCTTGTCTCAGTGATGAATCTTGTACCAAGACTTTCAAGAAGTGCAGTGCCTGTGCTTGTGGAAGGTCTGTCAGTACTGATCGTGGTTCAGAACTAACATCATGGCCTAAGGGAGTTCTGGCTATTTCTAACAACTGTGACATACACATGTGAAGAAGTGGCTGAAATGAAAATATCATGTTACTATCAGTCAGGACAGACTGGTATGTGGTGCCCTGTTGCTCACTCAACTGCCTCCCCCAGAAAAGTAAAGTTCCACTACTTTCACAATTCCTAATAATTGGAACTGTGATCCTGTCACACCATATCTGCATCACATCAACGCTTCTTCAATTTTATGCAAATTATAAGGAGAAACAAATTCATAATAGTAGCTGAAATTAAATAGTTCAGTGTTACTTAAATAGACTAGCAGAGAGCCATAGTGGTATTCAAATGGGACTGAAAACAGCTAAGTACTTATGACAACAAATCCTCTGAAAGTGTAAGAAATAATATATTAGTTTTATATTGTAACTTCAACCATGAAGACAGATACTATGTTAAGTCAGGCTTCATCTCCTTACTTCTGAACTTAAAGTACAACCACCCTCACTGAGTAACCACTGAATGTGAACTGCATAAAATGATGCAGAGAGCACTAAAAACTTTTCTCCATCTCCTTTCCCATCCATGAGGCCATAAAATCTTTTTTAATTGTGTCTTTGGTGGTCATAACAAAATTCTGGACTTCCTTTCTTAATTACATGGCCACTGAAAACGTTTTCAATAAATATTTGCTAATCAAGCGGTTGCTATATCATTCATCATCTCTTTCCAAAGCACAGGGTTCCAAAAATTTCTTTCATTATCTCTTCTCATTACTATGTGGCTGCTAGATACTATACTGTCTCCTATCCTAAACATGGAGTCACAAAGATATTTTTAATTATATTACTTCATGACCAGGTGGTGTCCAAAAATCTTTCAATCATCTCTTTCCCTCAACTAGATGACTGCCCTCTACTGCATAGCAGCAACTATTCACTTCTGTCCAATTATGCCTTTACCTCCCACTAACCAACCACAGCCAGAACTATTTATAAGCTTCTGAAAGCCAGCCAAGGACACCAGCTGTGAAGATGCAACTGCAGTATTTGCTGAAACACAAAAACCTCAACATTCCACATAATTTATTCCTCAATCCCAAAGTCAAGTAACATACCCATTACTACAACACTGAAAGTCATACTTACATACTATAATATAATAACAAAATGATATACAGCATGCATAGTTACATTATATATATAAAAATTATGTCATTTAATTACAGAAATATAAGGAAAGTAATAATGGTTTACCTGAACTGCTTATAACATAATGCAACAACATGTATAAATAAATGCACATGAAACAGAAAATAGGCACCATCCAATGGCTATCTACCTATATGGTGTATAGGTATTGGGTTATAATACAGGGGATGTAACTGGTCTTCATGAGCTGTTACAGAGCTTCCTATATACCAGTTTGGCAGGTGTTGAAGTTCTGCAGCTCACCTTTCCCCTGAATTGTAGTTTCCCTTATGTCACAGCAGAGTCTTGAACTGCTAACCTTCTACTTCTATGTAAGCCTTGCATCCTGGGAAAATGTTTGTACATACCACAGTCCTTCTCTGGTGATAGCCAAAATTTGAATTTGAGTATTTTATTCCAGTTCTTGCAAAGAGTGAAGACTGTTCATATAAATTTGTCTTTCAGTGTACTCCACAATAAACTTCAGACTGAAATCAGGCGAATGCAGAGGCAACATCCTTGACATGCACTTATGATGGGCAAGATCATATGATGTGTTTTGATAGAAATAACTCATGTATAATAAATGATACACTGAATACATGATGACTGCTGAGCCCATGTGAGACAAGGTGTACAAAATATAGCAGGGAAAGAGCAGACTTACTGTAGGATAGAGAAAACGAAGAAGGCTTCAACATTAGATAATTCATGCTGATAAAAATTCTGTGGATGAAATGAAGAATACGATGAGAGTGACACTACACTGTAATCAATACTTACAAATTTAGAATGATCCAATAGTGAAATAACAGACTTTATAATTAAAAACATGAATAGTAATATGACTGGTGTCTCACAGATTCAGGTTACATTCTTACAAATATGTTATCATTCACAGTGCACATACGTACTTGTATACTGTCTTGAGAACCCTATGAGATAACAGAAGCTACAAAACTGAACCACAATACCAAAACATGTAACAAAATTAGGTACATAAATAACTTACCTTGCCAGTCTGCATATCACTTGCCACAATTCTATGTATAAGTATGGATAATCCAGCAGAACGCCTGGTGACAGATGCCTTACTGCCCCCATGCACAATTGAATGTAAAAATTCAGTCAGCAATTGTTCCAACATCAAGTGTAAATCTTTATCAGAGGCATGATTACGTTCCTTTGCCTGAGATGTAACAGTTTTCACAAATGCAGACAAGGCAACTCCGGCAGATTCAATGGCTCCTTTATGCCGGCATCGCATAAGAACTTGAGCAATCAGTCTTGCACAGCGCTTTACAACTGCAGCACTGCAATCGGCATTACAAGCTAGACCACTTGCTAGAGTACAGCAAGCCTGAAATGAAACAATATCACAGGCAAATACTTCCTTCAAAGGTGACACGCATATATACCAGAGTTATCTCATGGCAAATGTGCTCTAACCTACTGAAGATCTGCATACATGTCCACTGTTACATATTACAATACTTTCAGTTCCACATTTTTGGATACACCACATCAAAACATTAATCTTATTGGTTTTTCCATGTATCATGTACTTTTGGGTACTACACATCATGAGAAATCAAAATTATTTTTTGCATGCAAGTGTGAGAATAAAGCATATTACTATGTTTATCTGACTGAACGATGCTTTCAATTTAACAGGACCCCACATTAGGAAACATGTTTGCACAGAAATAATTTTATGAGTTAATTTAATACTCCTAGTACAAATATTTGGAAGAAAATAAATATTAGAAAACATATTTTGTGTGACATCTATTCAGTTTCCTTTTTGAAGTCAACAGCATTTATCTAGCTTCACAGTCTCTGTTCACTGTTCCTACAGCTGTATGAGGTTCAACGTCTTTACAATTCCCATTATTTGTCACATTTTTTTCTCACACTCTCATGTTCACTGCCAATATTTCCAGCTTCTTCCTCATCGTCATTTCCACCTATTTTGACACATATACAGGTCTTTTTAAATAATATGTCACTCTGTCACCCAAGGCAATGTCAATGGCATACAACATAAATCCCTCTCATCAGTAATACCAACACTACAGCCTCTCAAACTGTTGAAGTAATATCCTTAACATTACTTTAATTCCTGAACTAATCAACGTTAAGACTTGGCATGTATATAGGGTGTGTCCTATGAGGAAAGGTTAATATTCTGGGAAGCCACAGTGTCTGCCATTCTAAGCAAAAATGTGTATGTACATGTGTCCCATTCCGAATGGTTTCCAAGACAGAGCTATTTCATGTTATTGTCTGCATAAAGGAACATCAAGATTCACTCAGACAAGTAACATGCCATGTCCTCACACGAGTTGGAAAGTGCATTAATGTTTGTGATGGATTTTTTTAAAATTTCTTATGCCAGGTAAACTGTACCAACTTCATCACTTGAACAATAAATACCAGTATTAGAAACAGTATGTAATATCTCTTTATTATCAACAATTCTGGAACTGTACAGTAAAACAGCTCAAATTCAATGACATGCTACAATGCACAAAGCCATTCAGGATCATAAAAGAAAAACACCAAAACTCAGGTTTATGCTGAGAAGTTGTACCTTCTGGGATATAACGCTGTGCAGCTCATTGAAAGCCATCCAGTCTTTCAGAGGGATATGTAGCCTCCATCTTCCACTCTGCTTGCTACATGCTTCAGGCTGATTTTTGCTTGGTTACTTTTTGACCCTGAAGATGGAGGCACATGTTCCTCTGAAACACTGATTGACTTATATGGACTACAATGTGTTATATCCCAGAAGATATAACTCTTCATAATCACACTGTCAGAACCTCAAAACTTACATCAGGCCTTTACTGCTCTACTTCTTTGCATCCTGGAATTTATTATTAAGCTTCATTTACAGAATTTAAAACTATACTCTTGAAGTGATAACCCTTAACAGCAATAAAACATTGTAACCATTCAATACAAAACTCAGAGACATTTCAGGTGGCAGAAGTTATTGCCCCATTCTGTATACCACTATTACAATATATATGTAGTCATGCTGATGAATTGTATGAATACTATGATTATTCATATACTTTTACAGACAGTGACTACTTCTTGTTCTATTCAAGTAACAAACAACATTTCATATAACCAAGGTGCATGGTGAGAAGCACTATGAATTATTCTAACAATATTTATTATATTGCACAAAACTAGGCTGAAACTACATACAGTAAAACTTGGTTATAGCAACATCGGTTTTTTGTGACACCTTGTCTATTGCGTCAAATATTCAATGGTATGAACTAATTCCTCAAAAAGCAACTGTTTTTATACCTTGCTTAGTACGACATGCACAAATGCATCAACCTCGTATGTAACGTCATTTTCATTCCTGAATTTCTCTGATATCGTGGGAAAGTTCGATGTGTCTGCCCACCCTCACTTTCTCTACTTGCTGATGTGACTGTCCTGGAAGAATATGACCGCGGGCTGCAAGAGAAGCGAGGGTTTTATGCGAAAACAAGGGTGGGGTGGGACTGCGTGAATAGTGCAAGAGGATGTGGCAGGTTGTTAACTGCATTCCTTTCCTAGAATCTCGTCTAATAGGACCTCACATTGTCTACTTACCCTATAGTGTTCCTGCCTAAACCCAGAGAAGTGCAGTAGCGAAAACATGGCAATGAAAAGGAAAGTTTTAAGCACTGAAGAGAAAGTTAAAGTGATTCGTGAAATAGAAAATGGAAAGAAAAAAGCTGATGTATGCCGCGAATTTGGTTTGGTGAAATTCTACAGTACAAACGATATGGAGAATCCATATTAATTCCACGTTAATGTTACGTTAGTCTGTACTTAACTACGTATTTCACTAAAAAATGCAACATTTTAACTCGGTTTTTGGTAGATTTTTACGTGACTAACATAAGGCTACTGTGGAAGTGCCCATTTCGGTTACGACATTCGTTTATAACGACACTATTTTTACGTCCCTTTGATGATGTTATAACCAAGTTCTACTGTATACGCATGTGATTCAAGTGCACAGCATGGCTAACAGGGATTGATGAGAAGAACAGCTGGCTTCAGATTTAACTTTTAAGAATCAACAAAAAGGTGGCAATCATCAGGCTTACGCTCATGACCCAGTGCCCCCATCATTTCATCAACATTGTTGCAACAGAACATATATCACCATTCATGGAAAAGGAATTTGGAACATGTTTTTCCCAGCTACAAAAAGGGAGAAGTTAATGTTTTTGCTTAAAGATTCCATCCTTGTTATCTGGAACAAAGAAGCCCTGATTGATGCTTGGGCAGATAAATGTCTCATACAAGATAATTTAATTTTGCGTGGTTTATTAAATGGGGCTTTTATAACTTTTGTGTATATATATTGTATCATGATCTGTATCATTTACATCCAAATATATGAGTATCTCTGCACCACCTATCAAGGTTCCATAACATTCATCTCTAAGGTACAGATAACTCTCAATGAATGCTACCAGTCCCAAAGCTGATAGAAATTTAGGTATCTAACACATTTGATAGAGTGCTGGCCATGAAGTTCACAGAACACACTGAACAACACATATAAGAACTCATGGTTTGTCCTCTTCACTGAGTTTGCAACCATATGGCTCCTTTATGAGGCAATACTATTCTCTTTTGAGACATGAGTAACCTGACCAAAAATGTAACAAAACACAAAACACATTACCGTTATTTACACACTGGTATAACATACTGAAACATAGTACTCACATCAAACAACAGACCTTGTAAATAACAGCTGCTCAACTGAAGATGGTCCATACGGCCGAAACATGTAAAGGATAAAAGATTAAAAAGAAGAAACTGTCACATTGGATGGAATTAAATAACCTTTAGTAATATTATTACTGTGATGGACCACAATGAAACAAATCAAACATGGTTTACATTTTATATCCATTTGTGTCCTATTTACTGACTCTCCCTTGTATTTGTGCAGAATTGGTGTTCCTGTTTCTGTTGTTTCCAACTTATTATTATGAAGTTGAAGGTGAAAGTTATAAACATATATCTTACTTTCAAATTCAGCCAGACACAATTCAAAACCAACTGGTGGGCTGGAGACAGATGCAGTCCTTCCTCATCTAAAGACACCAAGTCTGACAATGACTGCTGGATGTTGCATTGTATAGCCTCAGCCATCTCAGCAAATGAAGGTGCAACATCTGCATAACAGTTAATATCAAATAGTGGGTACTGGAAAATTATAACTTGTATCTATAAGATATTTGCAAAAACTGTGAAAACAAATAATACTGAAGTCATGTTTGCCCATCCGTCAAATTGTACGTATATGTTTCATCTCCAAAACTAAGGAGATTTTGATGAAATCTCTTATTTGGGATCTATTAGGATCTACATTGATAGTTGTACAGATTTCAATTGTTTATTTTGATAAATACAACTCTTGCACCACATAAACATAAAACTAAATTACTATTCATTTGCTCAAAAATGTCATATAACATAACATGCAGCTCATTAACATGAATGACTTTTATTTTAAACATTTTCTGACGGGATGAATATTTAATGAAATATTTCATTAAATATTCATGATAGAATACAGTGGAACCACCATTTAACACGATTTAAGGGTTTCCCTTGTTTAATGTTCGATGTCAGCAATCCAAAGGGAATAACCTCAATGTTAAATTTCCTCCACTTAAAAGTTTTCTCAAATTTAGTGTTCAAATCCACTGATCCCTAGAGAAGTCTTCAATGGAAGTCTCACTGCATTTAATGATATATAAGAAAAACAATTTCTGACCAGAATGTCTGAATAGCCTGGAAAAATATATTTGTTTTTGTATATAATGAAACTGACTATTGATACTTATTTGCCTTCTTCTGTTGCTGAGGAGCATGCAGGTAAAGTTATTCCTGAGCCTACTTAATTAAACACCACAACACAAAGATATATGAGGGAGTGGAGGTATACTTCCACCATTCTTGATGTCAGCACTAGATGGAGGTGAGTGGTCAGCTTCATGCCCCTGCTCATTTACTCCAGTACCTACTGTATAGGAGGTTGTGTGGGCTCTGCACATTATGGACAAAAGAAGAATCTCTTACCCTTGATGAGAATTGGAGCATACACAATTATAAATATAATTAGTAACTGAAAGTATTTAAATACCAGTAAATGTTATTACAATATAATGAAAGTCTGTATAATTCAATAAATATATTACATTCATTCAAGATTTAAATATTATGTCATATAAGTGGTGACCAGATATAGAAACCAAGGGCCAAATAAAGAAGATAACAGTTGTAAAAGAGTTCATTCTATTTCACAGAAATATCTTATACATGATACATGGGAGAGATTACACCTTTAATGATATGAAGAAGAATCAGGATTGTTCTGCCACTAGACATGCATCAGGCATAAATGAATACAGTGTGGTCACATTTTATGTGAGGATGTGTTCCTGAAGGCCTTGCATAATTCAAGACAAGTTTTGAAACATATATGTTATTTTTGCCAAATTTTCTGGGATTTGCACTCTTTCACTCTTAAAGCATAAAGCGAGAATTTATTAATACTCTTTACATAGCACAATTTCAAATTCACTTAAAATGTGACCGCATTGTACTCAGGTCATTTAGATAAGCAACTGCATTTATAAAATATGTGTATTTATATTTATTGTAGGTGATTAGGCGGGGAAGCAGTTTATCCCATTTCATTCAACATGGTAATGGATGAAATAAGAATAACAGAAGCTATATAAAAAGCAATGGTATATGCAGATGAAATGGGTTCTCCAACTGCTAGTAGACAATAATAAAAGGGCACTCATAGATGTGTCATCACAGTTGCTCCAATGACATGCTGTCGAGGGCATTGCCTTACTACTGGACATGTTAGTAGTGACGAACACTGGTTTCAGGATTTTGACTCCTTAACAAAATGAGAGAGCATGGAATGACACTGTGTTGCACTTCTTAAGAAAAAGGTCAGAATCAAACCCTTGGCTGGAAAAATTATAGGAACAGTTTTCTGGAATGCAGAGGAGTTCACAGTGGTTGATTTCTAGGAAACTGTCAATGCACTCTGACAACTTAGATGCTCTAGAAACTATGACATTGTGCTCCACCCATGATAAAAAGACACATCACTCTTCAACATGACAATGCATGCCATCATACTGCAAATTTTGTTGGAAGGTGCTTCCCCAGCCCCCCCTACAACCTGGACTTGGTGCCTTTGAACTACTACATATTCAGGCCTTTACAAGATCACGTGAGGAGTCAGCACTGTGAAAACAATGAGGCAGTCCAGCAAACAGTGCATACATGGCTGAAAAATACTGAAACAGACTTCTACAGCAGCAGCATATTCAGGATCATGCAGCACTGGTAGAAATATGTGGACTGTTCTGGGAATTTCATGGAATAGTGATGGGACATCTCCAGTAATTCAAGATGGTATCTGCTTTGTGAATGCACCTTTGCTTTAATATAAAATAAATGTGCTCAAGACTTTCAGTATGGCCTACATACAATGCGAACTAAACAAGAGCATAAAAGAGCAGCTGAGGAAAATGGGAGTTTCTATATGTTCTGTTGAGAAAATTAAATGCAACACAAAAAAACTGATGCTAGGGGAGGTAGCTCCTCTCCTTTCACTGGAAAGCAATATCAGTGCCATGTGAATTTGGTTTGTTACGATGCTTTTAATGCAGCAATAATTAGGAAAACCATGACTTTTATACAGTGATGGGGTGTCAACTGTGTTGGGCTTGCAAATGAAACCTGCAAAGTCACTAAATTTCCAGGAAGAAAATATGTCTCTCAGAGTACTTCTCACANTTGTACCAAAGGAAAGTTTCATCTTTTACCATATTTTTTGGCAAATGTTCTCCTTCCTCTGACAAAAGAAAGACTGAAGCATGAGTCCATTACTATTGCAAGTAAAATATTCTATAGAAATTATATATTATATTATATAATTATATATATAATATATTAAGAAATACTTCTGAAAATCTGTGAGGCAGTTTCTCTGGTTTTCTTCGGTATAACATTTTCAGTCTTTTTCTTATGCCGTGTTTCACAGGTATGGTCACTGACAGAGCAGGCTACGCCTTCAAGTATAGGCCTTAATGGTTTCATAAGTGGCTGGATAATCTAAACAAATGGCACTGATAGTTTTTCATTCACTGGGGGTTGTATGAAATCATGCAACTTCTAGGAATTTCTTACTTTGGTTTTAGGGTGTCTATAATGCATTTAAATCCTCCATCTTCCATAGCTGAGAATGATGAACAATCATTCACAATTATGAAGGCTGCTACCTGTTGGAATGTTACACCATCTTGTCTGGTGGATTATTACCAATGTTCCAAAGGCGCATACTGCATTTCACTGCACAATAAGACATGTTCCTTCGAAACAACGGTAATGATTTACCAAGTGACATGATGTCACATCTCAGAAGTATTCACAGTCACCCATGTGACAAACTCAAATCTCATATTTTACTATTATGTATCCAAGTATTGTCCAACTTGTGGCACATGACACTTGCCAATTGGTTCTGCATTGCATGCTAGCATTCCAAAAATATGTGTCAACGCTTCCTCCTTAGTAAAGGCAGCAAAATCTTGCGCCCAAAACTTCACAAAATGAGCTTCCTAGTGATTAAGTGGTGGTACTGCTTCAGCTGTTGGGTCTTTACACCAGGCAGATGTGAGCAGTGTTGCTGACATTTTGGAATTGCATGCTGCCTTATTTTCAGGGTCAAAACATGCAGGGTGGATCAGTTTCCATATGTGCACACTACGACCCTACAGATGGAGGCAGAATGTACCTTCTGAATGTCAACAACACTACCCATATTCATATGATGTAAAAGTTCATGAGCTCAATCAGCATCCAATTGATTCTGCATGACACGTAACAAGTAGCAAGAGGGCATACATCTTCAAACATTTACCTTAGAGTCCTAACTAAATTTAATAACAGGCTGACTTAAAGCAGTGTTCCTTGCTTGGGAATAATTATGTGAGAATACTTTCCCAACCATGAATTTATAAAATCCTGACAGTGCTGCATCTCTGCATCTGACTTGCTACCATCAAAATAATTTAAGATACATCTACTCCTGTAAGGGAGAACATGTTTCAACAGTGCTCACACTGAAGATAATGCGGAGTGGGTGCTCTTTCTGTTTGTTAGAAGCAAATTCACTGAATTTTCTAATCTGGACATAACAACATTACAATATACTAACTGAAAAAAAAGGTTTTTTGAACCACATGGATGCATTTCTTATTTCCATGCTTGTGCCTCACAAATCTGATAATTGCAAGGCATAATGGGATGATGAAAAAAAGAAAGTGGTTTTCATAAGGTGATTTATTGGTAGGTAGCCAGAGTCATTTGAAGTGGCTGATCAATGATTTGGAATTTGACAGCCCTGATGTATTCAACACTCCTTATAAGGATGAGAGATTCTTTGAACTTGTTTCTCATTTTAACTCCTCTGAAGAGGATTCTGCTAATATGAGTTGTGCAAGATTCATCTTCCTTTTCCTTCTTATGATTGTAATGTATTTCTGATATCCTTTGCTATTGCCTGGGGGAGGGGGGTAGGTAATGTAACATAACGTCCCTGTATTGAGCCATGTACATTATTCCACAGCTCACCTGTGTTGCCATCTGGCTGATGTTTCCTATAAGCCTTCCACATCCCCCCCCCCCACAATGTTTTACCCATCTTGTTCTCCATCACTCTATCTCTTGTGTGACCCCCCCTCCCTCTTACATTCTAGAATGATGGGCTACTCCAGTGTTGGACTATCTGAGCCATCTCTCAGTTGCTTACTCCTGGCCTGGTCAGCAAAATTGGACACTAAATTTGGCCTTGTATGTTTTCTAAATTACATTTTGAGTGAGTTTGTTGAGACCCATAAGGACAAAGAGCCCTTGTTGCAGCAGGAGACCTATGTTTTGATGCAGGTGTGTTGCAACAAGGTATTTGTGTTGAATTATGATTTACTTTGCAAGTCCTTTTGAACATACAGGTACTGTATTCGGTTTTTGTGTTGTTTTACTCAAGTTTCATGAACGTTGTTTTTATGCAATGCTTAATGATGTCTTGGTCTGTGTTAGAGAGACATATACGAGTGGGTTACATAATGCTGCCTAGGTGATAATGAACATTCAAATGTTCAGGCATGACTGTTCAAGTGACTAGACATGAGCTGCATGAGTTAGGGTATGATCTGCTATACCAAACCTAGACCGACAAAGGCCTTGTACATTTTGTACACATATACTAGAGTCTCATGTAAAACTGTAAATACTAGATATCTACAAGGAACTGGACTCTTGACAATTAACTACATAGAATGCTGACACATAAAATTGTAAATATGGATGACATGTACTAGTGATTTTGACTATGGTAAATAGCAGACCACCGGTCACGGTACACGAGCGGTCTAAGGCATATACTGTCTTCGCTCACTCGAAAGCCAGGATCGTGGGTTCGAATCCCACACAAGGCATGGATGTTTGGTGTATGTGTTTATTTTGTGTTTGTGTTGTCCTGTGTTTAGGTAGAGGCCTTGCAATGTGCTGATCACGTGTTCAAGGCATCCTACCGTCTGTATGATGATCAAGAAACTGAAAATCATAGGGCATGGCCCAAGGGGGCTGCAGAGCAAGTGAAGAAAAGTAACAAACCTGTCCTCTTAGAGAGGGCACTCCATGTCAACAAAACTGCAAGTGTCTGATACTAACAAAAATCTGGTCTTGCTCCTCACATGTGTCTTGACACCAAGAATGACTGGCTGACTGACCGTTGGTTGTAATGTGGCTTTGAATTGAAGATAGTTAGCTGAGTCAGTTGCCAGTCAGCAAAGATGTGAGCAAAGAAGCACAGGAATACCCACTGCTCGGAGCTGCTACCTAGCAACGACCAGTGAAGACTATAACAGACTGAGACTTAGCATGTGCTATAGTGATGTGAAATGTGTAGATTAGTGAGAGCATTATGACTATTGTAGTTATGAGTTATAACTGCTAATAAATCCAGTTATCAACCCAAACCCCATGTCTAGTCACCAATATGTGACAATATGAATTACCTGTTTGGACTTCCAACAGCAGAAACTACAGTGTTACCATCACTATATACTGGGATTAAAAATACTGCCTTTGGGGTGAGGGGAAAGGCTTAATTATTCTGAAAGTCGCACAAATATTCTTTCGGACACAATACAGATTTAACACTCTGTAATATGGTTATTCACAATGCCTCAAAACTGCAAAAACTTAGGAACTTTCAGTATCTATATTCTGGCTTCAAACAACAAAATTCTGCAAATAATCTGTTACAACATTTTATGTCTCTAGGTATTATTACTCACAACACACTAAAATATTAAGTCATTTCAACCTTGGCTACTGTTACATGTTTCGGCGTTCATCATGCGAGTTAAATCTAATACAAAGGAAATGAAAAGTACTTTTAAAATTCAAAGCAACCTGATTTTTGACTACTGTGGCATAATCAGCATTAAACAACTGTGTCACAGATGTACACCTTAGTGACTGACTTAATCTGCGAATAAAAACACCTTTCCTTCATTTTAAATTAATGAACATATGTTCAGGCATGGTTCATTCCATACTTTGCTCACATGCAATTCAATACCCTGTGATACAACAAATGCCCATCAAATTTGATGCTAGTAATCATCTTTTCAACAAGATCTGAAAGTGTACAGTAGAGTATACAAAATTCCCAGTAATACCTTTTGCAGTTTATTACACTTATAAGTAGTCTGTTTGTTAAGATTTCATTAATGATATAAATGAAAAGCCTATTTAAAGCCTCAAGTACAGTGGACAATATTGTGTCGATATGACTGAAAATCGAAACTGCCTGACAACTATGAGTGGAAGTCTCACATATTGAATTTTAAAGAAAATCTCTCCAATGATTTAGGTGATTAGATCACAGACAGACAAACAGGCAAAGCTACCAAATAACCTCAAAACAAATTTACATCATAATCAGTTCCACGATGCTTGACTTATAAGATACATCAACATCTTCTGTTCACTTATCTCAAAATGTGTATGACATATGCAAAAGCACACAGGACACAAAAGATTTGCTCTATAACTTTTGTTTGAAACATTCTTCATCCTGACAAATACTTAAGAGATAAATATTATCTTCTTGGGTGTTGGAAGTATTGAGAAGTGCACAGAGACATATGCATGTCTTTAAATAAAATGTGCATTACCTTTGACTCTAAATCATACAAAGAACTTGTTTTCACAATAAATTTAATATTCTATGACTACGTTTGATAATCTGAACTCAAACCAAACTTGTTTGAAGTGTATGAACAGTTTAAATTTCAAACTGTCTGCATATACCTAACATAAAATCTGCTATAAAAAAAGATCACTCAAGAGACCAAGATGTAGATGGAAGGACTACCTGTAGTTGAGGCTGATTTTTCTGCCAATAAGTCCAACAAGAACGAAACTGTTTGTTCCAACAAAGTGACTGTTCTCTCCACTTCCTCTGTAGACATACGTCCATACTCAGGCCCATCTGACTGTGTAGCAAGTCTAATTAAAGTGGTGAGAGCACCATGAAGTGGAGATCCAGAGGACGCTGCCTGAACAAGATCTTCTTTCATCAAAGTTAGTTGTGCCTCAGCATGTGTTAGAACAACAACTGACAATGGTGCTGATCCATTATAGCACATCTCACTGACATTTTTAGATACCAGATACCTGGAAGGACGTTGACAGCTACTTTCACCAACATTATTTTCAGACTTATGAACATATTTTCTCTCAGGAGGTTCATTCAAAGCAAAGTCATCACTCAGGAATAACTTCCAGTCATCTGGCTTCACATTCTGTCGTGTGTATGCATTGGATCGTTTGGGAACAATACTATCTTTATATCTGGATTGAGAAAAATGAGATTTTTTGTTTTTTTTACCACAGTTAATCCCAGCATTATGCTTTCTACGTTGTGACCCTGCTTGCAAGGAAGGAAAATCTGTGTCAGTAATTAAACTTGACCCTTGAAATTTATGATTTTCATATCCAGACGATGACAAAGTAGAGCTGTACACACCCTGAGATCTCCACACAGATGAATCTTCAAAATCTCTTGGTCTATTCATGAGTGGATTGTTACGTGTCACTTTTTCTGTGCTACCTGTTACAACCAAACCCTTAGATTTATGAAACTGTGTCATGTCAACCTGTTTACTTTTACTATGATTTTTCCATAACACTCCTTTTCTTGAAAACATCTGCCTTCTAAGTGATGCTAACGGTGTCCAGGATGACTGAATGTCAGAATGAGAATCTACTTCTTGTTTGTCCCAGCTAACTTGTTCTACCTGACTTTCAAACATGTATTGTATGTGTTCACTGGTGTGAGTATTGGTCATTTCTGGTGCAGATTTCCTGCAAACTTTGCCAAGGTCCTCAAAAAAAAAATAATCATCTGTATTGTTAGATGAGTCAGGCACTGGTGGAGAATGATGATATGGCTGTGATGAAGTCCAATATGCTCCAAAGAAAGGTTCCACTCCAACTTCCTGACTTGTATGATTCTCCCAGATATCAGGGGGTGTCTCATTTCTCTTTGTCGTATTGTAAGACAGGGATTTCATTTCATCTCCATTAACTATACGGTTGGATCTATGGATTCCTGTGTACGTATTTTTGTCGGACAAACAATGTGGCTTATCAGAAACAGAAGAAACAGTTGACTGACCAACTAATCCATCTCTTGATATTACTGCCATTCCTTCAAATATTTCTGTTCCATCAGAGAGCTCAGTACTGCAAATATCTTTCAATAATGACCGATGCATCACAACCATACCCTTCTCATACGTTCCCACTTTTTTCTTTTTAAGTTCTACTACAGTATGTTCTGTTTCCATTTTATTTGGGGCATATTTACTAGGCTTTTTCTGAAGACCAGACAACAATTTCTGTTGATTATACAGCATACGCTCCCTACTTCGAACCATATTTTCATTGCATTTCATGCTCACCATGCTAGAAGTCAATTTATTAGATATTTTTGGTGGCATTTTGTATGTCCAGTTACCAAGGATTTTCATAAGCAAGGCCCCACTTTCTGCTTCATAAAACATTGGGCTGGTACAAAGCTGTAATGCATAATCCAGCAGATATTTACTTTCTCCACTATCTGATTCCTTGAAACTAAAATACTTCATCAGGATTAAACCTGCAGCTTCTCTGATGTCATCAGTGGGGTCCAGAACACAATTCAATAGGGTTTTATAACTGCTTTCAGAAATGAATGGCCACTCTCCATGTTTCAATGTTAACACTTTCTCATCTTCTATGGCCACCTCTTTCCTTCTTATTCCAGGACTCATTTTTGGCCATTCTGGTGGTTCACTAAAATAAGATAACACCAGCATATAAAGTTGCAGAGAAAGAATCTTTCTCTGGTAATTGGTTCCTGGTTCAAGATTAGATATGAGGAAATTATGTAGCCAGTTGAAAAATTGTATATTTAGTGACATCCCAGCTACGTCTACTTCATTATTTCCACCTGAATCTGAACTTATCTTTTTACTGTTCATGTCACGTTGCTTGGGTATCTGTGTGTTACGTTTCACTTTTAATCCATGAAAACAAGAGTCGCGTATTCTTGTAAGAAATATAGTAAATGAATTCAAAATTGCTTGTCGCAGAGGTGAACTGTCAATGTTTACATTCTCCAGTAAGAATATTTGTACCAACTCAAACTCTTTGAGTGAAGGCATAATACAAGTCTTAGAAGATATACACACCACTGCAAATGCTTCAGCTCTGACTGTGTCACTGGAATGCTGAATGGCAGAATTCATCAGATTTAAAAAGTCGAAGAAATTAAAGGAACTGATTGAAAATTTTTCATCCCAGGTGTTGAAAAGCAAGCCAAATTTTTGGCCAAGTTTCAGTAAACAAATCAGTGAAAAAATGGAATTCTCCAACTCAGAAGATTGTGCTGTGTCTCTTATTTGATCAAACAGTGAGTTCAGAAGTTGAGGAAATTTCTTCAGTGTGCTTGGTATCCAGTAGTTGAATGCATTCTGCTTTTCAATGCTGTAAGTAAATACATAATGATAATGATGATGATGATAATAATAATAATAATAATGATGATGATGATGATAATAATAATAATAATAATGTAAATGTAAGGTAAAGCTATCCCTGTAACAGGCTGTGAAGGCCCATAGGGTTGAGATGTTGAGGCTCACACATTTTGTCAACAGTCGGCTCACAGATGGTGGTAAGGTTGTCAGCCTTATGTGCCGGCCGCCCTCTACCCCCCAGGAAGATTCCTGGTACTCATTTCTGTTAGAGGCTGAGTCAACACCAGGGAAATAATGTGGCTGGAAGGACTGTCCAATGAAAAAATCCATTTCATCAGGACTCGAACCTGTGACCTTCCAACTNTAAGGTACAAAACTTAAATACATGGTGCAATCCAAAAGTTCCCAAAATTTGAATTTTGCATGTGAATGGTTATGAGTACATCGAAATACCGCTAGGTGTCTCCCCACACACCCTTCTTCAATCGGTGTGGCAAGTGGCGTCTAGTTGAGTGGTTGGGTTTATTGTTGGTGAACGTATTTCCACTGTTGTGTTTCCGTGAGTTTGCGGTTTTGCGATGGCTGACCTGAGAGAGCAGCGTGTCTGTATAAAGTTTTGTTTTAAACTTGGGAAAACCGCTGCAGAAATGCACCAAATGTTGAAGCAAGCTTTTGGTGACAACAGTTTAGGCCAGACACAAACTTACAACTGGTATAAGTGTTTCAAAAATGGCCGAACATCGACGATCATTCGGGATGGCTGTCAACTGGCACCACACCAGAAAATGTCGCGAAAGTTAGGGATCTGATTCTGCAAGATCGTAGACTGACCATCCAAGACCTCTGTAACACCTTGGGACTAAGTTATGGTACATGTCAACGAATTTTGTCAGAGGAACTGAACATGAGGAGGATTGTGGCGAAGTTTGTGCCACGACTGCTGCAAAATGAACAGAAGCATAATCGCTTGGAAGTCTGCAGGGAACTTCAACAACAACTACAAGAGGATCCAAACTTTCTTTCGAAGGTTGTCACGTGTGACAAAAGTTGGGTTTATGGCTACGACCCTGAAAGTAAGCAGCAACTGTTGCAATGGAAGAGCCCTTCTTCACCTGGGCCAAAAAAAGCTCGACAAGTCAAGAGCAACATTAAGTCCATGTTGATCTGTTTTTTTGATACTGTCAGGATTGTTCATAAGGAGTTTGTCCCTTCTGGTCAGACAGTCCATAAAGAGTTCTATTGCGATGTTCTAAGGTGTTTGAGGGAGGAAATGAGGAGAAAACGTCCAGAGAAGTGGCGCACGAACGACTGGGTACTCCACCATGACAATGTGTGACCGCATACGGCTTACACTGTGCAGGAATTTTTGGCTAAAAACAAGATGGCAGTTGTTCCCCACCCTCCATACTCGCCAGACTTAGCTCCATGCAACTTCTTTCTCTTCCCCCAAGATGAAAATCAAGCTGAAGGGGCGAAGATTTGATACAGATTAGGAAATTCAAGCAGAAATACAGACGGTACTAAACACCAAACAAAGAAAGACTTCCAGGATGCATTTCAAAAGTGGCAAAAACACTGGGATGGGTGTATGCGCTCCAAGGGGACTACTTTGAAGGTGATGGTCCAGAATAAGTTCCAGGTAAGATGTAATTGTTTTTATTAATATATTTAGGGAACTTTTGGATTGCACCACGTATGTTGCTAACAAGAAGGTAATTATTCATGTTGGTTGTTAACTTCATGTGAAAAACAGCCTGACTCACAGGGACAGTAAGATATCAATGAGATATTTAATGAGTATGAATGACCTTATGACCCTAGTACTGACCATTTAAATACTGTTAAGGATATTACAGTATACCTTTCATAGGATACAAGGCATTAACACTAGAATGTAAGTTCAATTTCTATTTTATGGTGAACTTAAATGACTGCATGTTGTAGCTTACATGTTACGCCAGGAGACAACATATTTAAGCCACAATTACTGCTTCACTCTCAGACTCAACAATAAGGGAGGATTCCTAGAATGACATATATGTGGTCTGACAAAGTTCGTGAACTCATCGAGATAAAAGCACTACATATTTCACTGTTGAATATCATTGCAGTTACCTTCAAAGTAGTACCCTTGGGAAGCTATGCACCGATGCCAGTACCTAGTCCACCATTCAAAACAATTTTGGAACTGGTTTTGTGGAATGGCCTTCAGAGTTGCTGTCATATTACTCCTGATATCATCAATGTCATCAAAATGCCTTCTCTTCAATATTTCTTTTATCTTTGGGAACAGACAAAAGTCACTGGGGCTAGATCTGGTGAACAGGAAGGGTGTTCCAGCACAGTTGTTTGTTTACTAGCTAAAAACCACCTCACAGACAGTGTTCTTTGGTGAACTCCTTTGGGACCATTTTTGCACACACCTTACTCATGTGAAATCTTCAGTTTTGTTTTGGTCAATGTTTGCTTGCTCTGTTATGCTCCTGAGAGTCAGATGATGATTTTCACGCACAATTTAATGAACTTTTGCAACATTTTCTTCAGTTCTGCTCACTGTTGGCTATCCTGATCTCTCTTCATCAGTGACACTTTCTCTTCCCTCAGAAAAATGTGTCACCCACTGGTAAACTGATGTTTTCTCTCTGATTTCGCTTCCACTCTTGCCAAATTTAACAAGAAGCTCTGATGTTCTTGCGATGGCACACCAAAACACACTCAGACAATAATAGACATCGCTCACAAAGGGACTGCCATAGATCAATAACACAGCTGTGAAATGCTGAAATGCCAACATCATCAAACCATACTGAGGTTTCTGTCCAGTGCTGCCATGGCAAGCACATGGTGGCAAGTTCGCAAACTTTAGTGTCAGACCACATATATCTGCTCCAAGAGGAAATGGAGATATACAAAGACCTAGGAAAGAATCTGTCAATCAACTTATACCTTGTCTTTAAATACATTAGAATAACAATTCTGGAAAATTTTAACACTAAAAAAAGATTTATATTAGTGATAGTATTATAAATAAGGAAAAACAGTATGGTTCAGCATGATTAACTTATGATCCTCAATGAACTTAATCCTTCTGGAGAGAGAAAAAAAAGATAAAGTTTAGGGAATATTATTCTTGCATGTTATTTTATGAATTTATCACTATTCTGCAGATGGACAGGGAGTCAAGACATATCACTGAAGAGAGATTCAGATCTTGACTTACACAATTTGGAGATACAACATGTACAGTTAAAAGTGTTCCAAATTTTTAGCTACCCTCACAAAATTACGTACTTAATGACATCTGTACCAGTCAGTATTTCAACAAGTGGAGTCATGAAGATGGCGATCCAGTTATTTTCATCCATGTTCTCAAGACAAGTTTTATACACATCACTGCCTGCAGATGCCAAATGGCTGTATGACAAGCTTGAAATGAGTCCAGGTGCTAGATCTGGAAAATCTGCAAATGCCTAGAAGTAAATGAGAAATAGTTCAATATGGAGAGTTTATTAACAAAATGTATGGGGGGGATGTTTTCATCATATAATGACTTTTTATTCTGATCTCCATCCAGTGCTGAAGTCAAAAATGGAGATGCACCTCTACTCCTCTACATATTCTAATGGAGAGGTGCTTAACCTCTACTGGATGAAAGGTAATATCTCTGCTTATTGTTGTATTTTAGCATCCTGTTGCATTGATTTTCATCCATGATATGTATATAGTTGCCGTCTTGTAGTGCACTCAATTTCACCTGTTACTTCACTGCTTATTGTAGTTGAAGCTGGCTGAAATTGGAATATAGTTTTCTGTTATGTCAAGATGTTATTAAAATCTGCTTAAATTATAAAGAACAGAGTTCCTATTCAACACATATGGGTACAACTGTTTTTAAGGCATCATACAGTCAGAGATTTATTTGGAACTGAATTTTATTTATTACGTTGGCTCCATGGTTGCAAAAATCTTTAAATGTTCTCACCAATCAGTCACGTTTGTTGCTACTTCAAAAAATGTAAAAATGAGTCAGAAATAGCTAAAGATACTTCAAGAGCATTTCTGCTTACCGCATTCACCCTTTCATGAAACCAGCCTAATTATTTCATAATTATAATTATGAAGAATAAGTATATACTGTCAATGGTTTTATTACTTCAGTGTGTGTGTTCAGCTCAGTAGTTCTGCAGTGTTGATCTGTCTTCATAAATGCAATTTGGTGGGCAGAGCTTGAAGCAAGGATTACCACTCAACCTGCAAACTGCATTGTGCACATCTGAACTTTGTTCTACTTTCTTTGTTTTTCATGAGACACACAAGGCTCTGCATTCATTTTCCTTCTGAGGATCAATACTGACCGTGTTAAGTCAGGGTGGCTGGCTGATGGAAGTGGTTTAGCCCCTGGGCTGGTCTGAGGTTAAGGCATTCTTCTTCTACTATGCACCTCATCATAAGATGTGACAACTTTGAACCACATGAAGTGAGAAAGATAAAACTGTTCAAAACTGAAAGGTCTGAGAGTTGGAAACACATCATTTTCATCCATTTCTTGGTCCACCTGCTAGTCAACAAACATTACATGTGGTAACATCCTCCATGTAAGTCTTATATACAGGGTGATTCACAAAGTTTTACCCCGGCTTATGGTACATATTCCTGGTGTTATTTCCTGCAAAATTTCCTCGATTTTCAATAGTTACGGAGTAACAACAGATTTTCGAAACGCATCATTGTGAATGCAGCGCTCTGCTTCCCTCTTGGGCAACCTTGCGTTCCAGTCAGCTGTGTCAGCAGATAAGGCAGACTGGCTGGAATGTTGCGTGATCCTAGGCAGAACGATCCAGTAGTAAACAGGACATTGTGTTGGTGACTTTGTGAAGTTAAGATGCCGTACACATTTTCCACTGAGGAATACACCGATATGGTGTTTGTTTTGGGTGTATGTGATGGAAATGCAAGAGCCGCTGCTGCTGAATATCACCGGTGTTATCCTAATCACAGGATTCTGAATCCTAAATCCATTAGCAGTACATTCAACACATTAAGACAAACTGGTTCTCTCCCCAAAGTTTGTATACAATATGAATGAAATCCTCAACATGAATTGTGTGAAGAAGAAAACATTCTCAATGCTGTAGAGTGCAGTCTGTGTGCCAGTACAAGACGTCTAGCTTGGCGGTTTGGTGTTTCTTAGTCCATGGCGTGGAGGACTCTTCATGAGAACGGGCTGCATCCTTATCATTTACAGCAAGTACAACACCTACAACCAGGAGACCGTGCTCTTCGTCTGCAGTTCTGCAACTGGTTAAATGGAAATAGGCAGTTGTACCGCTTGATAATGTTCTGTGATGAGGCACAGTTTACACGGGACAGGGTCAACAACAGTCACAACTTACATGTTTGGGCAGACAATAATCCCCGTGCCACGATAGAATCAAATTTTCAACACCGACTCAGTGTCAATGTCTGGTGTGGTGTTCTGTATGATCAGCTAATTGGGCCGCTCATTTTTCCTGGCTGCTTAACTGGTGAGATTTACCCCCACTTCTTAGAAGAAGAATTACCACAGTTACTTGAAGATGTTCCTCTGGCAACAAGATGCCGGATGTACTTTCAGCATGATGGGGTGCCTCCTCACTTCTCCCGCGCAGTAGCAGCTAACTTGGATCGGCATTTCCCGCAGTGGTGGATTGGTCGTGGAGGCCGTAACGCCTGGCCTCCCAGGTCGCCAGATCTAACGCCGTTAGATTATTGCATTTGGGGCTGGATGAAGGACATTGTGTACCAGGTAAAGGTACAAACACGTGAAGCATTGCTTCAACGTATTCTGGTTGTGGCGATGACAATAAGGAACAAACATGTGGAGCTGCGAAATGCTACGAGCGCGGTTCATAGGTGTGCGATGCGTTGTGTTGACATGCAGGGAGACATTTTTGAAAATCTCATGTAAATCCAGTTGTCTTCTAAAGCACCACAGTTTAAAGGAAACAGATTGATAGAAGGGTGTGATATGCAACCATTGGTATGTTTACAGAATGGGATGCTGAAAATAATGTAATTTTGTAACATACGTAAAATCGATGAAAAATGTTGCACAATGCAAAATTAAGAAATTGAAAAAAAAAATTGGTTTTGGAATGCTTCTTCCCTAAAACATTAACGATTTAAAAAGTGTTTGTATTGTATTTCTAACTTGTTTTCACTGAAATTCGAAGAAAAAAAGATTTTTCGCCAGTTTTCAAATTACTGTATCTCTTTAAGTATGAGTTGGATACCATTAGTATTTAAAAATTTTTTGTTCCAAATTACCTCAGGAATGCCCTCCCTAAGTGGGGGTAAAACTTCGTGAATCACCCTGTATAGTCTCATATTATGGCTGGGTTTAGGGCACTTCCATTCTCATCACAAAATTGCCTTCTGCTGCAGGAAGATGCACATTCACCAATAAATTTGTTCCTTCAGTCTCCCACACAAAAGCTGCCATATCTCACCTCACCCTTGTCAAAATGTCAACAAGTTTAAGTCTTCTGTTCCAACAAAAATATTCAGGACAGCCATACACTGAACCAAAGCAAAATCAACAAACCAACACACCCATAAGTAACAGCAGATGTGCACTTTAAAATGAAACTCCAGTATCACCCATCACATATTAGGGATAAGCCAAACATTTGTGTGGCAACAGCACGATAACCTACAATTAGTCTGAGGCAATTACATAAGAAAAATAGAACATTACAGCAGAGCAACAGATTCCTTCATCACAACAACTTGTACACCTGATGATGGCCAACTAGGCTGAAACATGTAGTGATATAGGATAAAAAGAAGAAGAAAAGTGAATATTAATCAAAATTGCTCACAGGCGGGAAAAAGGGGAATGTATAGACAGATCTTAAAGTAGCACGATGACTTCATCCACTTCTAAATGTTTAGTCAGTCTGTAATACTTAACAAATAAGTATGTCACGTGTTTACAGAGATATTTCTCAAATTCCAGGATTCTGGTATGGATCTAGACTGTTCCCTTCGATTATGGCCAATCTATACAAATAATAAATATAAAACATTTGTGACTGCCTGTAATAATAGGGATTCTCTTTAATGATTTTGCACTTGACAGCTCTGGTCCTCAATAGCTGTTGTCTGGTTCTCTCTGGTCTTCCTTCTATAGCTTCATTGTAGATTGATTGTTGCATGTGTATTAGCTGCCACTGAAACATTTCTTATCAAGCCATTGCATAGCAATGGATCCGTCTGTGATATTTCTCTGATTCAAGTATTCTTTCAGGCATCATGTCACAGTATATTGTGTGTCTGAATGATTCAGTACACCAAATAAAAATATATCAAATATTAAACACATATGAACCATTTTAAAATACAACAAATTTTGTCACAAATTAAAACCCCCCCAAATATTCACGTGATTAATATGACTAACAATAACTTCAAGTAACCTTCCTAGTTTGTGTACAAACAGTAAAATATATTATGTAAGATTTGAGGCTTTCACGGTGGTGACTATGAAGAAAGCAGTCTTCTGGGATTTGGCCTGCTTTACCGTTTCTCACGGTGTTGTCGCTTGCAGATTTCTTATACTTTTTCTTCTACCCTGAAGATGGGGGCGATATGTTCCTCCGAAACGTCGGTTAACACCACATATACACGGTGCCAAATCCCAGAAGACTGCTTTCTTCAGTAAAATATATTCTTATGATGTACACATGGTACATCTGAGAGCTGTTAATATTTATTTATCTCACTATCAGCAATAACTCTCTGCTGGGTGTAAATGAAGTATTAAAACTGAAGTCCTCTGTCAGGCCGTGCCATAGCTCAAGCGGTTAGTTGCTGGCGTCCCATTGCGGTGGCCTGGGTTCGATCCCGGGTAAGGTCAAGTGGGATTTGTGGTGGACAAAGTGGAACTGGGGCGGGTTTTCTCCGAGTACTTCGGTTTCCCTTGCCAATTTTCATTCCACCAAATTCTCCATCATCATAATCAGCTGGGGCAGGCTACANCCCCCCCATTAAGCGAATTAAAAAAAAAAGTCCTCTGCCATATTTAAGGTATTAAAATGTAAGGAAGGACATTTAAATTATCTTGTCTGAGAATCAGAATAATAGAACATAAATTAACTGATCTGACAGTGACAGACCACAGTGAATTTAAATTTAATGGTCCGATATAATCCAGATAGAGTAAATTTAAATGAACTGGTCTATTACCATCAGAACAGGGTAAATTTAAACTGGACTGTAAAAGATAATATTGTTCCTGTATACAGATTTCTACAGAATGCCATACAATGCCTTGTGTCCCCTGAGAGAAAACCATAAAGAATATTTTCAAATAATTACCTTCCTCACGCCGTATCTTGACAGTAACACATTCAACATATAATATTTGCTCTTCATTTTCCATGGCTGCACTTCCATTATGTGACACAACACAGCTGTTACAGATTTAAATGCTGCATCACAATCATACCAGCATATTTCGTTTGTTGAACACACATCCAAATAGAGTTTGAAGATTCTGGTATTCTGTGCTTTAACACCACTTATGGGGCTCTCCCAGTTGCTATTAATGATTGAAAATATTTTTCTCAAAGATTCATTTGTCATATTCAACTTCTGCTGTAAACACACCTTTTCTATCCATGACACCAGCACCTTGAATGCTATGCTTGTCAGTCTTGTGTATTTCATACAGGCTTCTTCTAGAATGTTCAACATCACATAAATCAACCGACTTCCAACTACAGATCCTTTCAATAAAACATTTGATACTTCATTACTCTGCAATATACCATGACAGAGACAAACTCTGAATACCTCTACATTTTTTTCAGAAATGTGTATGGATGGCCAACCTAAATCATGGAAAATATATCCATCTGTATTTAAATATAAGCTGTATAAAGTTTCCCTTTCATGTGTTTCTAACACTGCTTGAATGCCTGCACAGAAGGCTGTTGAACACATCATCTGGCCATCTAGAGGTATGCTACAAGAAGCAATTGTATTTAGTAATGAAATGTTAATATCTTGAATTACTTCTCTTGTATGCGACTCAAGTTCTGAAGGAAATTTTTGCTGGATGCCAATTAGAACCTGAAAAATAAGAAAAATATTAGCAACAGAATTCAGAGATACTTGAATTTTTCTACAATTGGAGAGAGACACTTTTGAGTGCAACTCTGCATTGCATGTAAGAGATAACATGTGTGAGGGGAAGACTGTCTCCCATAATCCATAGAGTAGAATGTACCCCCATTTTAATGTTTTCCTTATTTAACATCCAATTTAAAAATGGTTCTTCCTTTTACAATTTCCCTCAGTGTTGTGTCCAAATTAAGCGATCGCCAAAAAATCTTGAAGGGGGTTCATTACAACTCCCGATTTCTCATTTTCCTGGTCGAATCGAGCAGGTGGTATAGACATGAATCAGTATCACAAACATAGCAGATTCATTTACTTTCATTCATTTTTAGGTTGCTGAATATTCAAAAGGAATATTAATAATCAAATGGTATACATTTAACTTGAAGGCAGCTGTGTTCATTAATATTTCTGATCTGACTGTCTTACAACAGAAGATGCATTCTCAAAAATGCTGTAATATGAATTTGATTTCCTTCGTAGTTTTTCCACTGCACTCAGTACTTACCTAATAGGCATGTGTGAGAATGACTTTTTCAGTTCGAGAGGAGACTCTTCAAATTTGGAGAAATTTTGAGAATTGAGGCAAGAACACCAGTTTTTTTCCTGTATGAATTTATAACACCACACTCTTTTTATAAAGTGTGTACTACAATATCTATAAAAGTAGAAGCTTATTCAAAATGTAACAAGAACCTAGAAGAGGACACAGGTCTGCAGAGAAAAAGTAATTTTTATCAACTAACTTCACTGTTATAATGCACCTCACTATACTACAGATTTTGCTATGCTGTGGGTCCAGTCATGTCTCCCTAAACAATTTTTTGTCAACAAATTTGTTTCAAATTTTATTGCAATTCTTTTCTCATTCAAAAGACTTCATCTAATCTGTTGCTTTGAGCGAGTAATATGACTCTGTATGTAATCCGTGATTTGCTACGAGACACCAATGCTTCTCTGCATTAGATACGGAAAAGCCCTCCGGTGCTGGAATCAGTGTGGCACATTGGAAATACTGCACCAAGGCTAAGGAAATTAAATACACATTTCTAAAGGCTTTTTGAGGAATGTGTTACTGCACTCTTTCCCTTGCTTCCATCATACAATAACTTTATCTTTTTTTATTTTAGGATTATAATTATGTTCACCAAAGGGAAAACATACAATGAAAGAAAAGGACATAATTGGCAGAGTGAAACATGGTGTTTTGAAAGCTAGTTTATTCCAGGAGTTTGGTGTTCTTGAAGGAACAATTTGTGGTTGGTTGTAAAAAATCCACAAAATATGGTAAGCATTTCCAAACTATTCTTCTTTAAAATCATCATAAATTGTATGAACAGTCTTTGTCCTAAATGCTCAATCTACATAAATAAAAATGTAAATGTTCGTTTGTTCAAAATCTTAAATCCCCGAAAGTTCTTCACCGATTGCTTTGAAATTTTGAAACAATGTTGCATTTGAATACGCGCGTTTTTATATACCTATTATAGAGATGTCACACCTGTGACAGGTAAAAACATGCTTCTTTTGAAAAAAACAGCGCCATCTGTTGCACGTAACACATGCTATACTAAATATTTTACGATTCCATTTCAATGTTTCCGATTGCATTGTTAAATTGGATTTTCATAGATTTCGATTTATTTTCATTTTCATTTCATTATTTCGTGTGACATTGCGTTGGAATTGAGCTGTGTCGTTTACCATAGCGTTCATTTCGTGAGTATAGTTTATTCTTTTCTTCTTTCGTTGTTTTTCATTTTTTTTCTTAACTGTTTTCCTTACTTTTCAGTGCAATTGGTGGTGGAATTGAGCTGTGTCGATTGATCTGCGTTTGAATTGAAATATTTTGTTAATATTTTTTTGTTTCTTCTTTGTTTTCCAGTTCGTGTTCTTTCCTTTTTTAATGTTTTGCAATTTTATATGTGTTTGTTATAAACTTTCTTTCTTCTTCTTCAGTGCAATCGATCTGCTTTAGTTCATCCAAATAATGCCTCGCAGAAGATCAAACTTAGGTCGTCATACTCGCGGAGCGGAAGCAGTGTGACGAGTAATTGTAAAATCAAACTGGGGAAGAACGGGCATCAGCGAACGAGTGAAACAGGCAATGAATGGCTCAAATACGTGCCGAGGAAGCAGCAGAGCGATGTGCAGCCAGACTTGAGGATGCACGGTTGCCAGCACGGTGATCGCGTTCTGCAGCTTCAGATCTGCTTCATTCTCAACAGAATGAACGCGACAGGCTGAGAGTGGCTGAAAGACGTCAACGAGAAACAGCAGATCAGTGTCAAACGTGACTCCTGCGGACGAAATAAATGCTTGCCTGAAATACTCTACTTTGTGGCGACGTGTAAAGACGTTAAAATTAACTACAAATATGCGTGTCAAGCTGCAAAACGATTGATCAGCTGAGATATTCTCACATCAATTGCTGGAAATTGGGAACGGAAAGGCGCCGGTTGATCTGACCTCAGGACGAATTTCATTGTGTCATAACTTCTGCAATTTAGTGACGTCAAAAGAAGAATTGGTTGAAAAAGTATTTCCCAATATTCAAACCAATTATAAGAATCACCATTGGCTGAGTGAACGAGCTATTCTTGCGGCCAAGAACAAAGACGTCTATGAACTTAACAATATCAATCAGTCTAACATTCAATTTGAGGCAGTCACTACAAGTCCGGCGACACTGTTGTGGAAGCAGATGAAGCGGTTAATTAACCAACAGAATTTTTGAATTCACTCGATCTGCCAGGGATGCCACCGCACGTACTGCAATTGAAAATAGGCACACCAATTATCATGTTGCGAAATATCAACCAGCCAAAGCTTTGCAATGGCACGCGGCTTGCAGTAAAAAAATTATTTAGCAACGCCGCAGAAGCAACAATCTTGACAGGACCTTTCAAAGGTGAAGATGTCCTCATTCCTCGCATTCCTATGATTCCAACGGATGTGCCATTTCAATTTAAGAGATTGCAATTCCCAATTTGATTGGTGTTTGCAATCACCATCAACAAAGCTCAGGGCCAATCTTTAGAACTGTGCGGTTTAGATCTAGACACGGGTTGCTTCTCACATGGACAATTATATGTTGCCTGTTCTAGAGTCAGCAAACCAGACAATCTCTATACCTGCACAGACAATGGAACAACAAAAAATATTGTATACCCACAAGCATTGTGAAACTAAACATATTAGAAATGTGCGCTTTCTGTTTTCTTTCTTTTCCATTTAACCAGACTGAGCCACAGCAACGCGTGGCCGGGTATAGCTAGTTGTAAAATAATTTTATTTTGTTACAATTCAAATGACACATACTTACCCGGAGATTGTCATAAAACTGTGATGTGTTTCCTATAAATGTAGGATCTGCAAAATGCTGAAAATAAATCTGGCAGCATTTCAACTGATCCAAAACATCTGTTTCTTTGTCTACTGACATATATGATAAATTATCAAGTTTTTTCTTTGTGTCTCCCATTATGACAACTGTCCAGTTCCTTCTTCTTATCAGTTCTAGAAGTCTGCACTCTTGCAATTCTCCGTTCTATACCCCATCTAAAAAAATGAAAATGGCAATCAGGTTACAAACAATAATGCAGATGATACAGCTGCCAAGTCTTAAATGAGTACAAATAAGACTACAAATGTGTAACCTGTATTGGAATAAGCAGTTACGACATGGTTTTTTGTAATGTGCGACCTGATACAGGACTTATATGTGAGTAGTGAACTGTGAGGATAGATTATCATCATCTTCATCACCATCAGCAGCAGTAATAGTAGTATCAGTGTCATTTATTTATTTTCTTATTGGGAGCAAATTTAAAGTTGACGCACATAGGATTAAAATTCTGCATTATTCACCTAACTGCTGCCTTAGAAACTATATTTAATACAGAATGTGTAGGCATGTGTATGATGTTAATACAAAATTTCATATGCTTAATGCCTATGTTTAAACTGTTGCTGTCAAACTGAAAGCTAAATAGAGATTTCATGCATCCACTATTTTGTTGTCTAACATTTCTGTCTCTATCTGTCTCATGCGTGCAAGTACACAGAATAAAAACAAAAACCAGACAACTGGAATAATAATGGATGCACAACAACACAGTATACATAAGTGGGACAAGCTATAAAACAAAATGAGAAATAATCAAAAGAAACTGCAGAATAATACTGTGGAATGCATGCAGCCACCTCCCCCAACATCATCTGTCCCAGTGGTATATGATTAAATATGCAGTAGATGCTTTCATCTTGGCAGCTTGATTACAATCAAAATGGGAACCTCCAGTACATGGATCCACTAAAGAATGAGTGGACAGAGCAGATGGATCTGGAGGAACAGTAGTCTATATGAAACCAGAAACACCATATTGTGGCATGCAGACCTGTTGTTAGGTAATGACTGCAAAATAAGCAACTATAAAACTACACAACAGCTGTTGCTAAGTAACGGCTCTGCAAACAAGTCTGTTCCCACAGCAACAATTACACTGCAACAGAGGAATAGTGTTTTCTATGTGATTTGTGCTGAGATGGTATAAGCAGGGCCAGTTAGCACACACAAAAGAATGTCCGCAACATCGGACAAGGTGAAGCCCGACACAGAAAATATAAGAGGCTTAAACTTGGCGGCGGTCAGGCATATGACCGTTCAAGTGACTAGGCTACTGTGGTAGCGAATACTACCAGAAATAGGGCATAATCTGCTGTACCGAGCCTGGATTGACAGAGGCCTTGTATATATTGTACATAGAAATAGGAATCATGATTAAATTGTAAATATATGTAAATACTGACAATGGAATTACTAACACAGACTATGACAAATGACAGACCTGACCTCTCATCAGAGAGGGCGCCCCAAATGAACAGGACAGTAACTTTTACATAAAGAAAAAAAAATCTGGTCATGAGCCCCAGTCAGGGCTCGACACCAAGACAGACACTCTGACTGACCGTCAGTCTCAATGTGACTTTGACTTTGACTCACACAAAACCATTAGAATGAGTATGGCCACCAGGAGGTGCAGTGAGAGGTGCCTGCACAGTTGGCACTGCAGTCTTGAGCTTCACTGAAAATAACTCTCCACTGATCATAGTGTGTATATTCAGTGAAATCATGATTTAATGTACAAGAGTCAATAAGTGGAGGGATTATTTTGGAAACAGCAGCTAGAGATGGGAACTATTTAAAAATGTTTTGTACATTTGTTGTATTTCATATCATTCAGAATAATGTACAGGTGCATATTAACTGAAGGGAAGATTATATAGTACATGGGGAAATGAGGTGTATAGCCTCAAAGTGAAAGTAATTGTTACTAGTAAAATTTATGAAGTGTCTGTCAATGTATACTTTGTACGTGGAGGCCAAATCACTTATCTACCAGATATTACAGTTGGTCAAATTTTGAATGTAAGAAATGTAGCTCTATCATTTAGTGGTGACCACTTCAATGTATTCTTACCAGCTGATGAATAAGAGGTAGGTATTTCAATGAGGTTTGATTATAGATGCAAACTTTGCCAAAAACATTTCCCTAAACAGCACTGCTTACTTCATAGTTAAATTTAGTATCTTGGTATAAATGTAGCTGTCTATCCATAACATTTAAAGCTACTGATGTTAGGTATTTTTGATATGGCTTGCTTTCAACAATTCCTTGCTGAAATAGCAATAGGCTCCATGCTGGTATTTTAATAACTGTTGATTGCTATAGCTATCATTTCAATGGCCACCCAATATATAAAATGCCATTAATACAAACATTAATAGCTTATGCAATGGTAAAACATGCATCTGAAAATGATCTGAATAAGGAACAAGAAGGTCTGGGAAGAACTTATATTTTATGTTCTCTTGATATGACAGAAACTGCATACAAAACAACACCTTTAACAATTCTTTGCTGTTGTAGGAACATGTTTACTGAAACATTGCCTGGCAATGATAAAGTGACACACAGATCCGCAGACTGCATAGATAACCATGTGTCTAATGATTCTTCTATTGCTGCATGTACTCATTGCCATGGGAATGTGTTTACTGAGCTGTCGTCTAGCAACATCAGGGGGAATACACAAACACTGACTGATGGGAGGGATTTATGAAGCATGCTGCTGACATAGGCTTAGGTGCCATGATATATACGAGGGGGTACCCAAAAGAAACCGAACTTAATTTTTTAAACTTATTTATTCAAATTTTAAGCACAAACCTTCGATCCCCCTCAGAGTACTCTCCACTTACACGAATACACTTGTCTAGTCTTTTATTCCATTTTTCAAAACATTGTCTAAATTCATCTTTTGAGATGCTTGACAGCGCCTCTGTCATTTTTTCCTTCACCTCAGCAACACCAGCAAAACGCTTTCCTTTCATGTCTCTTTTCATTCAAGGAAACAAAAAAAAGTCGCACGGAGCAAGGTCGGGTGAGTATGGAGGGTGAGGAACAGGGGTCATACCATTTTTGGTCAAGAATTGTCGTACAGACAGGGCTGTGTGAGCAGGGGAAAAACCAGTCACCCGACTGTCACAAATCTGGCCGCTTCCGCCGCAAACTGTTGCGCAATCTTTTCAAAACTACCAAGTAGAAAGCCTGGTTAACTGTCTGACCCTGCGGAACAAACTCTGAATGGACGACTCCTCTCACATCGAAAAAATAAATCAGCATTGTTTTCATGTTTGATTTCACCTGAGGAGCTTTCTTGGGGTGAGGCGAACTTGAAGTCTTCCACTGGCATGATTTTTGCTTTGATTCAGGATCGTAAGTATAGCACCAGGTTTCGTCACCAGTGATAATTTTTGAAAAAAATTTTGATCATTTCTGGACTCTTTTTTCAAAGCANCTTTTGAGATGCTTGACAGCGCCTCCGTCGTTTTTTTCCTTCACCTCAGCAACATCAGCAAAACGCTGAAAAAAAGTTTTGATCATTTCGGGACTCTTCTTTCAAAGCACAGCATGCTTCCACGCGACCTTGTTTTTGTTCAGCAGTCAGCAGTCGTGGCACGAATTTCGCAGCCACCCTTTTCATTCCCAAATCTTCTGTCAAAATTCGCTGAACTGAGCTCCAAGTCACTCCCGACAGCTCCACAATTTCTTCAATGGTCCGTCGTCAATCTTCCTTGATGATTTCATGAATTTGTTCAACATTTTCATGTGTTCGGGCTGTGGAAGGACGACCAGAACGAGGTTTGTCATCAATTGACATTTCACCATTTTTGAAACGGGAAAACCACTCAAACACTTGAGTTTTCCCCATAGCATCGTCCTTGTACGCCGTTTTTAACATTTCAAGAGTTTCTGTTCCACTTTTCCCAAGCAAAAAGCAGAATTTCACCGCCGCACGCTATTCAAGAAAATCAGCCATTGCAAAAACGACGATCACACAGAACAGTTGTCACTATAAACTCTGCCGAAACTAGTCCTTACCTTCTGAAGCAACGGTAGTCGGCTTATCGACTCAGGAATGTTAGCTCTATGCACTCATAGCGGCAAAACGTGGTACTACAAAAGCTCTGCCCACAAAAAAATTAGTTCGGTTTCTTTTGGGTACCCCATCGTACATATACAAAGTTTCATAAAGATTGTTAGAAGCATCAAAAAGTTGACATACATGCATGCACACACAGAGAGCAAGGTGATTTCATATTACTACTTTTATTTTTTTCAAAATATGGAAAGTATGTTGAAAATGTCAGGCAAATGACAAACTTATGAATTGTATTGTATGCTTATGGTTACTAAATTAATAACCTGAAAATCACTGCTACAGAGCCCAAATCAGTTACTCTCAACTGCAAAACTGGAATCTACTGCATAAACCAAACCAATTACTCCATTCAGAGTACAGTGAATTAAATGGTACAACTGGAAGTACATGTTAGATTATCAGCAGAAACTGACGACTTTTCAGCAATGAACACCCAAAATGCACATCAACAAAACATTCAGACATAACTACATTTACAGGAATGTTCAAATTACACGTTTACCAGCTCTTTGTAGACTCGATGTCTTCGAGTAATTGTCTGCAAAGGGCTTGTAGACTGGGGAACAACAGATGGAGAGGATGGGATCCTGAAACACACCGTGCAATGACATGGTTACTACCTACCATTCAACAGACAGTACATAAACTATCACAGGGGACTGTTTAAAAGATAGATCCCAGGATTCCATAGCACTACTGTCTTCTTCAGCAGCTGAGTCAAGTTTTGTTCTTTTTCCAATGATAAAGGAAGTCTGCTGATAAGCAGCTGGAGCTCATTCTGTTTAGCAGCCACACAACAAATGCCCAGGCAACTGACCTGCACCATTTTAGGTTTACACCTGCTCCTTGTGTAGTTCTGTAACCCTTATTTCTGATGGAAACAAAAGATGTGGATTTGCAAAGCCTAGCTTGCAAATTAATATATAATATTCATGGGTATTTTAAGAGAGAGGTCAAAAGTAAAGGATCACTTATACACTTTACCGAAGCACCTGTGGCAAAAAAGTTTCAGACAATGACCTTGCCAGAGAATAACACTTAGATTGAGGAACAGACTACTGTAAGTAACTTTTTGTTACTGCTGTGAGTCACTGTCCATAGCTGGAACCTTCACAGCATCATACAGTAGGTAATTAATTAAATGAAATGTAGTTTTTGTCAATTCATAACTAATTCTTTGGGTGCAAATACATTTATCAAAACAAATCATGTTCAATGAAAAGCAATGTTCCACAGTGCCATATTTGCCACCATTGTGTGTTTTATCTATCCTTCATTTCTTCCCTCAACTTTATTTCCTTCAAAGGCACAGCAAATGTAATTGGCACATGCCTTGGCCATGAATTCTAATGATGAGCATTATACTGCAGATAAGCACGACACGGATATGAAAGATAAGTTCACAGTGTTTGGGGTTTCCCAAAGAGTCTATGGCACACTGCCTTCTACCTCTATATGTATATTGTCACATGTGGGGTATGTGACGTGACAAATTTATTCCACACTCGCTCTTACACTTACAAAATTCACAATGTCCCAATTACTGCCAGCTGCAGTATCACAATTACTTCCTGGGTTCAACTGTCTTGAATCCATTCACTCGATACAACTTAACAACTCGTGGCTGTTGGACTTCCACTCCCTTCTGTCTGGTTTCACAATCCACACTCTTACAGCTGAACTCGGCGACTGCTAGACTTTCAATCCACTCGGCGACTGCTAGACTTCCAATCCACTAGGAGACTTCACGATCCACACTGTCTCACACACCGCTTAGCTGGCCTCTTATACTGTTCCCTGTTGCCACACAGAAACTGCGGTGTCCCCTGTTACGTCACCGCGGGGGGGGGAGTGTTTACCGGTCCTGTTACCATAGCAGCGGCAGCCGCTCCTATGTGGTTACATCACCGTGACAATGGTTGCCTGACACAGCTGCTCTGCTGTTACGTAACCGCTTGCGGGGAGGGGTGGTGGTGGTGGTGTCATGCATAGCGCAAGTACGTCACAATATAAAGGTAAAGTTTTCCTTGTGCTTAACTGATTAACCTTCGATGGTCGAATGTTATATATATATATGCGGCAGGACACATGCTCTCTTTGGTAGTGCTGAAACCAAAACAAACCTACGTAAGGTCATGTCAATGGTTCATTCATTAGCTCTAAACAATGAAATCGTTTATCATGGTACTGGTTTCGATACTGTTTACGTTTAGATATGACTGTTTATGACCTGGTCAGCCAAAGACAGCCCAGCTTTGTTTCGAGAACTGATGAGGAAATATTCATCGGTGCTTGCATACGAGTGCTTCCAGAGCCTTCAAGGAAGTGTGACGCAGTCAATGATTGGTTTTCAGTGACGAACTATCAGTCAGGAAGTCAGTGTCGGATTGTCTAATATTTCTTTATCAATCAAAAAGTCAGTGTCGGACCGTCATATATTTCTTTGTATATCATTTTTATTTTGTGTCTTGGAAGTGGTATAAACCCACTGAGCTAGTATTACTTTGTGAGTAAAAGGCATCTTCACCACTGCAACTTTCGCTTTCAGTGTCAGACTGGCACTCATTTCGACTAGTATTATAATTACTTTGCTTCACTATTTTGCGAGTATTACCAATGGGTGAGTGTGTCGCTTCGTTAGTCAACATAATTTATTCAATTCTGCTAGAAACCCCCCTCCCCCAAGATAATTCTTCAGTCGCACAAGGCGAATATTACGGCCAGTGGCATTTCTGGGGGGAGGCCAAGGTTATCTGGGGCCCAACTGAGCCGACTGGAGGCGAAACATTTACAGCACTGGCCACCCAAAGGGAAACAAAGATGTTGTCATGTGTTTCGCTAAATAAGAAAAGCAGGAGCACGCTCTTCTATTGTAAAAAGGGTGGTGTCACTCTGTGTGAGGTGGACTGCTTTGAGAAGTGTCACGTGCGTCAGAGTGTATCGTAAACTGTAAAGTGACGCAGTTCAAACTCGTGTACAGTCTGAACAAAATATTATTGTATGTAGTGTGATTATATTTACAATATCACCATGATTCAAGGATTAAGAAAAGACAATGGGTAAGTCCTTTGCAATTTCATAACATATATAATAAACATTATATTTTGCATTTCATGATAAAATA